GGGGTGGGGGGCTGCAGGCAGGCACGGAGTGGGTGGGGCGGGCCGGGAAGCTCCGTGGCAGCGTTGCACTGGGTGTGTCTGCAGCCTGCATCAGGCCACGGCCGGCGCCCCTGCAGGCCCCAGCTCCCACCCACCACCACCAGCCCAAGCACGTGTGCACACACAGCACCACCCTCTGCTCCTCCGCCCACCCCTGCAGCCCTCATGGCCTCTATTATCACGGGGCCCCGCCTGGGCCGGTTTGACGACCGGGGTGGAAAGCCAGGCGATTTTGTGCCCTCCAATCCGGTGTACCAGGCCCTGGGCACCTTCATCCTGTGGCTGGGCTGGTGAGCGTGCTGGCTGGCGGCCTGGGAAGGCTGCGGAGGGGGGGAGGGGGGCATGAGTGCCAATATGGGGCGGCAGTTGCTGAGCTCAGGCAGGGGGACTCATGCATGTGTGGTGGGGTGTGTGGCGGCCCTGAGGCTTGCCATGAACCCCGGATCACAGCCCCTCCCTCCGCCTCAATTCACGTGTTGACCGCTGCCGTCTACCCGCCTGCTGCCGCTGCCCCCCCCGTCGCAGGTACGGCTTCAACTCCGGCAGTACCAACTGCTTCGAAAACTGCATGGGGGTGGCGGCGCAGGTGAGGCACCGCTGTTGCAAGCCGGCTTCAGCTGCCGCCGGATACGTTTGCCTTGCTTTTGGTGCGGGCCGGCGCCGTTCCGCAGCGGCCTGGGCAAATCGAGAGCCCTGAGCAGCGGCGCGTGCTAGGCGACGCAATGCGAGTGAAGGCTGCCAACCCTGTTTCCTTGCCTGTCCTTCACCCCACCCCTACCCCCAGACTGCCGTCAACACAACTCTGGCTGCCTCCTTCTCCGCCCTCACCTGCCTCGTGTGCGCCATTGTGATGGGCCTGCCGGGAGACATCGGCCCCGTGCTCAACGGTGAGCATAACGCACCCAGATGGCGCACAGATGGCTCAGATGACTTTGGCGGAATGCGGAATGGGGGGCAGCATGTGGTGTGGGGCGTGGGGTGGGGGTGGGCATCCACATCGATAAGGCCACACCGCAGCATGGGTGGAGGCGCAATCAGGCTGGGGGCAGGGGCAGCGGGCTCCCGGCAGCCGTGCTCCCCCCCCCCATCCCCATGCCGTGCCACGCCTGAACAGCCACACACAACCCATCGCATCCCACGCTCGTGGTCCACCCTCCCCGGCTGCCCCGCAGGCGTGCTGGCGGGCGCAGTGTCCATCACTGCAGGCTGCGCTCTGGTGCAGTCGTACGGCGCAGCCATCATCGGCATCATCGGCGGCCTCATCTACACAGCCTCCAGCCGGCTGCTCGTGCGGTGCGGGGCGGCTGCCTGCGTGCATGCCTGTCTGCCTCTCTGTTTGTCCTTCTTCTTCCCCCTGTTCCCTGTGCCATGCCTCGTACTTTCTACTTCTTGTCCCACCAGCCAGCTCACCTCCTCCTGCCCCCTCCTCCCGCCCCCGCTCAGGCTCAAAATCGACGACCCAGTGGATGCGGCGCCTGTTCACTTCTTCTGCGGCGCATGGGGCGTGGTGGCGGTGGGCTTCTTCGCCACAGAGGTGAGGGAGGTGGCGCGCTGCTGCCACCTGGCCTTGCCCTTGGCCTGGGAAGGAGGCAGAGAGAATGGCACAACGGCGGTGGCGGAGCCAGCCGGGCGGTGCGTGCTGGTGGGGGGGTTTGCCGCAGGCTGCTCTGCGTTCCTTCCGACCTGTGTTGGCCTCCCCTGCTGCTGCTTGCCTTCCTTGCCCGCCTGCAGACCTCTGTGCAGGCGGCATACACGTATGCCGCCGGCTGGGGCGTGTTTTACGGCGGCAATGCCAAGCAGCTGGGCGTGCAGGTGTTGGGGGTGGTTGTGATCGCCGCCTGGGCCTGCAGCCTGGCTGCCACGCTCTTCCTCGTCATGAAAAAGGTGGGCGCCCGTGGCGTGCACGCCAGCCAGCCCGGGCGTGCTTCGGGGATGCGTGGCTGCGGCTGCGGCTGCGGCTGCGGCTGTGTCGTGGCAGGCAGCCATGCCTGCCCCTGCGCGGCGCTTGCCTCCACACCCTTCCGCCTGCGCCCGCCACCCATCCCGGGCGCCCCTCTTGCTGCAGATGTGCTGGCTGCGCGTGCCGGAGCATGTGGAGCGGCAGGGCCTCGACCTGGCGCAGGGGCTGTCCACGGGCATCATGGGCAAGTGCTTCAAGCGCTCTGCCTACACAATGGCGGTGGAGAGCCACCTGGTGCGGCCCTCGGCCAAGCCGTCGCTCTCCCAGGTGCAGGAACACGAGAAGGCGGGGGGCAACGGAGCCTACTGACGCAGGTCTGGCGCGCGCAGCCCGACGCGCTGGCGGCTGGCGGCTGTCTGGGCGGGGAACGCCTCGACCCGCTGGCCGGGCGCACAGCGGGCCGGGCGCGCCGCAAGGGATCGCAGGGCGCGCGTGCCGAGCCCTCCTGCTTTTGCTTTCGCCGGCACCGATGTTGGACCTCGGTCGGCCAGTCGTGCCACGCAGCAGCTTGTGTACCACCAACAGCCATCAAACCCAGGCAGGGGTGCCAGCCCGCCGCCGTTTCGTTTTACCTACATGACACCCCAACGCATGCGTGCACCATCATGCTGCCTTCTCTTGCTTTCTGAGCGCCCGCTTTTTTGTGTCAGAACTTGGGTGTTCTGGTGTTTCACCTGCCCTGTAACCTCAACCACCTCCTCGCCCTCGCTGCCGTTGCTCTGCGCTGCCGCCGCTGCCACCAGCTGAGCTCCCAAATGCGCTCCCCCGTTCCAAGCGAAGGCTTACACAACAGCGCAAGAAGGGTCAAAATCTCTGTGTGGGTGTGTGAGTGTGTGTGTGTGTGGTGGGGGTCATGCAGGAGGGGTGTAGCTTATGCGGTATACCGCTCCCTCCCCATCATCCGACACCAGCAGGCTGCCGTCCGCCAGCTGCTCCACATCCACCGGCCGGCCTGCAGCACGCGGCGCAGCGAGCGGCAGGGGCGCACGGTGTTGGAAGCGGGGGCGGTTTGCCGGCTGTTGGCACACGCGCGGCTGGCTGCACCAGGTGGAGAAGGAGCCGTGTGGCGCTGCCCACTTCCGCCAGCCACCACCTATGCATGCACCCCCAGCCTCACTGATATAGCCGCCGGTGGGTGGCGGGTCGGGACCGGTGGGTGCCCCCTTGTCTCCCGAGATGCCGCCAGTCAGGAAAGGGAGGTATTTGAGCACCCGGGTGGGGTGGGTACTGTTGAGCACCACCCGCATCACCCTGCGGCGGCAGAGGCAGGCGTGGCGGAGAGGGCTGGGAGGCGGCTGTAGGTAGGCATACTGTGACGTAGGTTAGCGCAGGTTGGTAGAACAGAGCGCTCCTGGCGCTGGTGCGATGACCGCAGCCGGCAGCAGCTGGCCGAAAACGCAGGCAATCCCCCGCTGTCACCACGCACCTGGCGCCGATGGGCTGCCTGCGGTTCCAGCTGCCGTGCTGCAGAGCACGTGCGTGGCGCCGGGCAGACCGTGGGGGGGGTTGAATGTCGCAGGCGGCGATGCATGGTACGCCTGGATGCTGAACAGCAGCCCCAGATAGCTGGGAGGGGTAGCAACCCATGTGGGCAGACATACCTGGGCGATAAAGATGGACTTGTCGTAGCTCCGGGGAAAGTTGGCGCCCGCAGACCAGCGGTAGAAGCGCTGCGGGGGGGGGCAGCAAGGGGCCAGGGCGGGAGGCTCTGCCAGCTGGCTGGCCTGCCGCATGGAGAGTTGCTGTGCTGTGCTGCGCTGGGCCATGCTGTGGTCTGGTCCCTCACACACAACACACGCCTCTACCCACGCCTCCACACGCCATCCCCTCCGACACACAGCCTGTCTTGCCGCTCTCACCATGCCCAGCGGGGCAGTGTGGGGCCCCAAGGCTTGGATGGCACGGGAAAACTTGAGGTCGGGGCCTGCGCGTGTGGAGCGGCAGGCAGCAGGGAGTCGGTGCCGGCCAAGGGGTGCCATGCGGCGGCCTCTGGTGCTTCTGCTGGCCCTGCTCCAGGGTCCGCTGGTACAGCCGGCGGGCAGGCCGGCAGGCCCGCAACGCAGGCAGGCAAGCACCGACAGCGGGCGCGTGCCGCTGCCGCCGCTCACCGTTGCACCTCATGTCTGTCTGCCCGGCATTCTCATCTGGATCCACTAAGGAGGGCCCCACCCCTCTGAGGCGCAGGTATGGCCGGTTGTCTGCCCCGCCCACCGGGCTGGTGTGGCAGAAGGGGAACCCAAAGTGTTGGCCTGCACGACGGCCGAGGCAGCGGCGGCAGCAGGAGCAGTCTGCTGCCGCTTCCCTGCCGGCCAGCCAGCCAGCCAGCGGCGGGATTGTTTAAGCCAGCGAGAAGAGCAGCTCGCAGGCATGCAGCGAATCGTGCCCGCTGCCCTCCTCCAGCCTCTGGCCTGGGGGTGAGGAGGAACAGCAAGAACAGCAAGGAAGAACAGCAGGAAAGGATGCCCACCCGGCTTGGTCACCACATTCAGCTCGCAGTCGGGCATGTTGTCTCCCAGCCCATCCCGCCCGTTGTCCGTGAAGTACAGCCGCCCGGTGGTGGGGTGGAAGTCGAACCCCACGGTGTTGCGCACGCCTGCGGCGCAGTGCAGCACGAGCGCGTGCTGGTGCATCTGCCCAAGATCTGGTAGGGAGGGGCACGTGCGCCATGGGAGCCAACAGAGGCCAGGGCGCACGCCACGAGAGGTCCGGCTTTGTGGGACTTGGCTAAGCGGCGGCGCTGGCAGATGGGTCGCGCAGGCAGCGCACCTCTGGCCACGAGGGTGAGGTTGGTGCCGTCCCGGTTGAGGCTGTAGATGGCGCCGTACCGCCACAGCGGCCTGCCAGCCGCCTGCCTGCAGCACAGCGCAATGCAGCGCAGTGTGCATCAGGCCACATCATGTGGCATGATGCCGCCTTCTTTCTTCAGGCATGTCACTGCTTCCCACGTCGGTCCCACACTAAAGGGCCCACGTTACGGCAGCACCAGTTCCAGCCCCACCTGTAGCTCCCCAGCAGGCAGTTGTTGCAGGGGGCGCCGATGGGCAGGTACAGCTTGCCGTCGGGCCCAAAGCGGATAAACTTCCAGCTGGCAAGAGCAGGGAGGAAAGCGTCGGGTGTCAGCATGGAGTGTCGGCAGGAGCTCGACAGCGCCCGCGCGGCCCGTGAGGCAAGCAGCCAGCCGGCAGCCGGCCCAGCGTGAGCACAGCACCCACGCCAGCCCGACTGGAAAGTAAAAAGAAAGCGCACCCGTGCGTGCCGGTGGGCGGGCAGCTGCTGAGCACCAGCTTCAGGTCTGCCAGGCGGGCCGTGCGCTTGGTCAGCGCGTAGCTGTCCACGTCGTCCAGGCGGTACAGCTGTACCGCGCAAGGAGCGAGAGCGGTACCGCTGTAACACGTGCAAGACCGGAGGCAACACAGCACAACAGCGCTGCGATCCTCCTGGCTGTTGCGCGCACAGCAGGCAGCAGCTGCTCGCCCAGCGCCGCTGTACCGCTGCAGTGCCGGCGCGTGTATACGCAGGCAGGCACAGAGGGGAGAACTCGGAGCTGAGGGAAGTACTCAGGAGAGGGTGGGCGCACCTTGCAGGACACATCTGGGTCCTGCGAGGCGATGAAGAGCGACCCTCTGCTCCAGGCGATGCCGTTGGGCATGGGAGAGAGCGCCTTGACGATGGGCTGGAGGCAGGGGAGGCAGGGCAGCGAGCCGGGGGCATTGCTGCCATAATGCAGGGAGGCCTGCTCGCGTGGCTCGGCGCGGCGCAAGCGGCGCAGGCGGCGGGACGGCTGGCAACTCGCTGGGAGTGCCTTGAAGGGAGGCTGGCAAGGGAGGCTGGCAAGGGAGGCCGGCAAAGGCGGCTGTGGCAGCTCACCCAGGCATAGTCGGCCTTGCCATCGCCGGTAAGGTCCACCAGTGCGGTGATCTGCGCCAGCGGGGAGGTGTGGAGGAGCGGCAGCACGCTCAGAGAGCACGGCGCCTGTGGGGCTGTGGGAGGTGGCTGCTGGGTGGCGGGCACTGCTGCAGTGTGGCGGACCGAACAAACCCAACAATGCTGCCACACGCTGCCACACGCTGCCACACGCTGCCACACGCTGCCACACGCTGCCGCACGCTTACATCTTGTGGGTCCCAGCCCTTTGCTGCTACATAGGTGATCGACTTGTTTCGGGTGCTGGCGCCGCTGCGGACGAGCGACCGTGCGTTGGGGATGGGGCCAACTATGTATGGCGCAATGGTGAAGCCAGGCGGTAGGGTGAAGTCGGCGCGCCTGAAGGCTACCGAGTGGCCACAGAGGCCCAGCAGGCAGAGGAGGAGGGCGAGGGGCATGGCTCCGACTCCAGGGGGGCGGTAGCGGCGCCGTCGCTCGCTGGTGTGGCGGTGCAGCTGCCGCTGCTCAAACTAACTGCTGCAGCGTTGGGATGGCTGGATTGCTCCAGAACGCGAGCAGGCTGCTCCGAGACCGCCCAGCACGCGCACAGGTCGCTTTAGTTGAAACTTGCGGGGAGCTTGCTCTCTGCAACCGAATGTGTCGGGACGAACAGTAGCGAAACTCGCGAAAGACGCGCCAATCCGCTCGAAGGTGCTGTGTTCGGTTTCCTGGCATGGTGCCAGCAGCTGGAATGGCAGCTGGCGCAGGGAAGGCAGGGCGCCGAGGGGCAGCGGCAGCATACTTGGCTGCATACTTGCCACCATTGCTGCTGCTTACATTGCAGGCACTCTGCTTCACTCACAAACCGCCCGCATCATTACACACCGCAACCTTCATTCACTGCACTGCAAGCGTGGCGCCGCCAATGTAGCGGCGCGTCGCTACCCTGCTCTCCGCCCTCTCCTTGCATGGCCCCGCAGCAGGCCCGCCCCGTCAGGCCCCCAGCTCCAGCCGCAGCTCCGGCTCCAGCCGCTCCCACTGCCCCTGGCTGGCTACCAGCACGGCAGTGGAGAAGAGGTCTCGCTGCTTGTCGGGGGGGTAGGTGTGCCAGCGGGCCACCACCTCCTGCGGAGGCGGCAGCGGCAGGGGCAGGGCGGCATGAGCGCATGTGTGTTTTGTGTGTTCGTGTTTATCTGTGTGTGTGCTAGCTGGTTGCTTGGGAGGGGAGAGGGGCCGCGTACCGCGGCCGCAGCGCTGGCGCGTGGGAGGGCAGCACGCAGCAGGCGGGCCGCTGGCGTGGCCGCCACTCGAGCGCGGCACCGGTGGGCGCAGCGCTGCGGCTGCGCATGCACGGAGGCAGCGCCTCCCACCCACCTGCCCAGCCAGCCAACGAGGCTCACCTGCAGCAGCGAGCCGCCCTTGCCCGCCAGGAGCACCCAGTTGAGGGGGCGCAGCATGGCGCCGGGGCTGCTCGTGTCGGCGGCCTGGAAGGCAGCCACAGCCCGCTGCATCACGTGCTGCACCGCCCGCGCCGCCACCTCCGACCCCGCCAGCTGGGGCGCGTCGCCGCCGCCGCTGGCGCCGGGGCCCTCGCCGGGGCCGCCGTCGGCGGCAGGGCTGCCGGCGCTGGCCGCGGGCCGCTGCTCAGCGGCGCCGGCGGCCGTGTGGGCGCCAGGCGGCGCCGCCTCGCGGTCGCTGCCGGCGGGCTGCGGCTCGCCGGGTGCCTGCTTGGGCGGCGGCGCCGGCCAGGGCGCCGGCTGCGCGCCGGCGAGCCCACCGGCCCCCTCCTGCTGCCGCTGCTGCGCAGGCTCAGCCCCCGGTTCGCCGCTTACGGCTGCCGCCCCCTGGCGCTGCTGCTGCTGCGGCTGCGGCTGCTTGGGATGCTCCCTGCTAGAGTCACCAGCTCCCGGCTGCTGTTCTGCTCCTGCCCCAGGCTTCAGCTCTTTCCCTGGCTGCTGCTGCCGGCCCTGCTGCTGCAGGGGCTCTCCTGTCGGCGGCGCCGCCTGCTGCTGCTCCCCCTGGCCCGCGCCGGCGGCGCCGCCTCGCTGCCCCGCCCAGGGCTGCGGCACCCGCCCCCGCGCTCCCTGCGCTCCTGGCGGCACGGCCCCGTTCTGCTGGCCCGCAGGCCGGCCCTCTGCCTCCTCGCTGGCGGTCGGGGAGGCCCCTGGCGGCTGCGCATCCTGCGGCGTGCCACCCTTTCTGCCCTGCGCTAGCTCCACCAGCCCCGCCACCGCCTCCAGGTCAGTATCCTCGCCATCCCCGCCCCGAGCCTGCTGCTGCTCCAGCCCGCCGCCGCCCCTCCCGCCTCTGCCGTGCTGCCGCTGCCGGTGCTGGGAGTATGCGGCCGCGGCGGGCGCCGAGGGCTGGTGGTGGTGGTGGTGGTGCAGGCTCAGCTGCTGCTGGTGCTGCTGCCACAGCTCCGCCTGCGCCTGCTCGGCGGTCGCCGCCTGCGCCTGCGCGGCCGCCGCCTGCGCGCCCCACTGCTGCTGCATGAGCGCCAGCTGCTGCTGCTGCAGGGCCGCGTCCTGCTGTACCGCCTGTACCGCCTGCACCTGCGCCTGGCGTCCCCACAGGTCGGCCAGGGGCGGGGGCAGTACAGGGTAGCTGTACAGCTCGGGGGGCGCCGCCATCGGCAGCGGCGGGGAGTGCAGCGCCGCCGCCGCCGCCGCCGTGTGCCGCGCCTTGTGCGCCGCGGCGCGGCGCGGACGCTTGGGCGCGGCGCCTGCCCCTCCTTCGTGACGCACGAAGGGGCCATCTGAGCCCTCCCCAGCCCCATCCTCATCGTCCGAACCCCGCGCCTGCTTCTTGCCCGCGGCCCCACCGCGGCCCTGCTGCCGCGGCTGCTGCACCCGCTTGTGCGGCTGCTGCTGCTTCTGCTTCTGCTGCTGCAGCCGCGCCCGGGGCGCCGGCGCCGCATCCGACAGCGCCCCGTCGCTGCCCTCGGCGGCCCCGGACGCCGCGCCGCCCGCCGCTGCCGCCGCGTTTGCACGGCGCGCCCGTGCCCCCACCAGCACCCCTTCCTGCCTGCACACGTGGCGCACAGGGAGGGGTTGCACAACCCATTGCATGCAGCCCTCGCAATAGCGGGTGACGGCCAGGACCTGAAAGCAGGACCTCGAAAGCAGGACCTCGAAAGCAGGCGACGCGCTGCCTGAGCGGGCGGCAGGCAAGCGCGGGCGCAGGCCAGCAGGCAGGGCGCGCGCGCGCAGCGGGCGCACTTGGCGCGGCGGGAGAGGGTGGAGATTGTGTAGCCATGGAAGGAACCGATGTCCTGTGGGGAGGAAGGAAGGGCGGGAGGGAGGGTGGCAGGGGTTTTGGTACCAAGCGCCAACATCGCAATTGGAGGGGTGGGAGGTGTGATTGGCCGAAAGGGCTGGGCCTGGGGCTGCGCAGAAAGCCGATGGCCCGCCGCGGGGCCGGCCGCCACCCGCGGCGCCGCGCCGCGCCTCACCCGCAGGCTCATGCCGGCCGTCACGATGTGCTGCAGGAGGAAGCCTGGGGTGATCAGGTTCTCGGGGCGGTTGCGCGGGTCTTCAGCCAACGGCAGAGGGAGGGGCAGCAGGGGAGGGGCGTGTATGTGTGGGTGTGTGGGGTGGGGTGCGTTTAGGGCCTGAGGAAGCGACAGCGCATGCGCCGGCGAGCGGCGCGGGCGGCCAGGCCGGCGACGCGGCCAACAGGCATGGCCACAGGGGGCGCCGCGCACCGTGCTCGTCGCGCTTGCTGCGCCGCCCCGGCTTGCGCACGATCGCCAGCTCCTTGTCGGTGAGGGCGATGGCGCCGCAGGCGGGGCAGCACAGGGCTGCGGCAGGAGGGCGGGGCGGAGGGGTATGCGCGTTGGGCGTGCAGGTGGCTGGCTGGCAGCCTCTGGCAAGCAAGTCGGCCACTTTCAAAAGTCGATAGCAACCGACCGGTGCAAGCACCCAGGTCACCTGGTGCGTCGCCCTTGACCTCGGACAGCGGCGCCGGCTGCTCATCGGCTTGCGGCGGGGGCTGCTCATCGGCTTGCGGCGGGGGCTGCTCATCGTCTTCTGGCGGGGGCTGCTCATCGGCTTGCGGAGGGGTGGGCGACTCGGGCGGCTGGTCGTGGGCGGCGGCAGGCTGGGACCCGCCGCCCTGCTCCTGCTTGGCCGCCGCCTCCATCGCTCGCGGTCACACGCTGCAGCTCGATTGCCGTAGTGGTGAGACAGTGGGGAACGCGTTTGAGTGGTGCCGCGAGAGACGAGCAGCCCCAGCTTCCACATGCGCTCCCTTTGCTGGTAGGGTAGTCACCCACCGGGATGGGAGCCCTCAGAGATGGCGCCCGCAGCTGCTCTCCTGCTCCGTCGCGCGGGTCCTCGACCTGCTTCTTGACCACAGCGGCGTCAGACAGCGCTGCCCGCTGGATTCGGATTGTGGGGCGGCGAACAGGGCGTTGTGCACGCGCGGCGAGGGCAGAGGGGAAACAGCTGCCGCCCCTGTTGCAATGCCCGACTTGCATTCCTGGGACCCAGGCCAGCGCCCATGCTGCTGCAGCGCGATTTAGCGCCTGCAGCATAATCTTAGTCATTTCTGTCAGTGGAAAACAACCAAAGCTCAAATCAGGCATTCCTGTGCCTGCAGCGCGAGGCGGCGACGGCGTGCCGGAGCGGCGCCAGGACGGCCGCCTGCCCTGGTGACAGATGTTCAGAGGAGTAATTCTACCGAACTAAATGGGGCATACGGAGGCAAACCAAGGCCAGTGGTATTGCACTGGCTGTTGGCTCGGTGGGCGGAGCGGCAACCGGTGGCGACGTCGTACTCAGAGGCTCTTACACATCGGCGTGTGTGCGGTGGTCGTATGGCGTTGCTCATGAGACTGTGTGAGTACCCAGGCAAGCTTACCAGGTCTTAAAGCATGACCAGCCTGCTCTTGAAGTGCCAGTGCCAGCCAGCTGACGGAGCCCAGCGGGGCCAGCGGCGCGCTTTGGCTTTCGCGCTTTCAAGCTGCCCCTCGCCTTGCCCGCGATCTGAGCTGCTGCCGAAACCATGGAAACCATTGTGGAACTTCGTGCGGGCTGCATGGTGCTGGCCGACGGCCGCCTGGCTCCCGACCCCCGCAAGGGCCTCATCCGAATAACCCAGGCGCGCTGGGAGGCTGGGTCTGCGCCGCCGGCGGTTATGAACGCCAGCGGGGGGCGTCCGGCCGAAACCCGCCAACCGCCGCTCACCGCCCGTCTGCCTTTCCCGCCGCCCTTGAGCTTGCAGGACGAGGCGGGCCTCACCCACTTCTGCTGGCTTGAACGCGACGCCTCTGGCGCGGCTGTGGGGGAGCCGGAGCAGGACATCGTGGTCATCCCAGGGGAGAGCACATTTGGCAAGGTGGGTGCTGGCCCGGCCGCCGCCGCCGCCTGGCTCGCGTCGCCAGCCGCGCCGCCGGCGCCGCTGCAGTCCACCTTCTGGCCGGCTCCCCAACGTTCATGCTGCCTCCATCACCGAACGACGCGCCGCTACAGCTCATCTTCTGGCCGCCCTCGCCTCCCCACAGCACCGTTCCTGGCGCCTCCAACACCAGACAAAGCGCCTGCTGCGGCCCGGCAGCCACCAGCCATGCCACCAGGCACCCCTTGACGATCAGCCTGCCTCCCGCCCCCTGCCCCCGCCCCGCCGCCGCTGCAGATTGCGCGCCCCGGCTCTCGCGTCTTCGAGCTGCGCTTCCCAGAGGAGAAGCACCGCAACCTGTTCTTCTGGGCACAGGAGGCGGCGGCGGAGAGCGACGAGGACTATGTGGCGGCAGGTGGGGCTGCCCGGCGGCGGCTGCTCTGGTGCAGCAGGGGCAGCAGCTGGGGCGCGCGGGTGTGGCGGGAGCAGCCATTGGTGGGTGGCCTGGAGGGTGCTGCGGGGAGGCATGCGCCTTCCCCTTGCCTCACACAAGCACAGGGGCGCTCAGGTGCCTGTAACTGTTTGCTGGGGTGCTGGTGGTGAGCGGCGCAGCCTGTCCAGCTCCCCGTTCCGCCCGCGGCGCTGCCTGCAGTGAACCTGGCGCTTAACCAGGGGGAGGGCGAGGAGGAGCAGGGTGGCGCGCAGGGCATGGAGGGCGTGGAGGCAGGCGCGGCGGCAGCATCACCGGCGGCGGCAGCAGCAGGCGCGGTGGCGTCGGGAGCAGCAGGCGGCGGCGGCGTGACCGGCATCGGCGCTGCAGACCTTGCCGCCGTGCTGGGCAGCCTCCTGGCTGGCGGGGCGGGGCAGGGTGCTAGCGGGCAGGCGGGGCGGCGCCTGGCGGCTGACCCGGGGCCCTCGCTGTCGGATGTGCTGCGTCCTGAGCTGCTGGCGCCGCTGCTGCGCTCCCCAGACATGGTGCAGCGCCTGGCGCCCTTCCTGCCCGAGGAGCACAGGTGGGGCCCACGTCTGGGTGCGGGCGGGCGGTGCCAGCGGGAGCAGCGGGCGGGCAGCACGCCCGCCGCTTGCGGGAGCGGGCTGCGTGCGTGCGCTAGCACCAGGATGGAAGGAGGGTGGCTGAGTGGGGCGGCGCGGCCGGCCACCTGCCGGCTGCGCAAGGCAGCAGCCTGCGCCGCCAGCGGAGCCAGGCACGTCCAGTCGCGAGGCGCGGCCGCCACCCAAGGTGTTGCCCCCTGCTCCCCTTCCCCATGCCCGCAGGAGCGCGGACGCCATCTCTGAGCTGGTGAGCACCCCTCAGTTCCGCCACCAGCTGGACCTCTTCTCCCACGCCCTCATGACCGGCCAGCTGGACGCGTCGCAGTTTGGGCTGCCGCCCGGCGGCTATGGCGTGCTGGAGTTCCTGGCCGGCATCCAGCGCCAGGCAGACAATCAGGCGGGGGCGGCAGCGAACGCGGGAGCAGCCGGCGACGCCGACGGGCGGCAGCAGTAGGGGGTGGGCAGCTGGGTGTGTGTACCTGCATACCTGTGCTTTGTGGGCTGTGCTGTATCTGTACTTCTACTTTTCCCTGAACCAATTGTATCCTTTGTTCAAATCCTAATCCCGTTCACCGCCATTGCTGGGCCAGAGCAGGGCGCATCTGCAGGGGTTCACTGGGCTGCATCGCGATGCCCGCTGCCCTCCCTTCACCTCGCCCTGCTTGCGCTGCTGTCTGCATCCGCCATCCCAACTGCCAGCCTGTCTGTCGCCAACGGCGCTGCTGTCAATGTGATTCAGGGCGTGTGTCGTGAATGACAGGCCTGGGTTTGGGTGCGTTTTATTTCGTGTGCATTTGCGTTGTTTTGGTTTGCGCTGGGAAGCAGAGGAGCAGAAGCGACGATGGAATTCGGGATGCACCAGTTGGCGGGACAGATTATGACAGAAATTGGCCAGACAGATGGGGGCTGTCCATACGATGCACTGCTATGATGGCTCTTGAGTTGTCTCTGACGCATGTGACAAAAAGGGTCAAAACAGGGCGTGCGCAGGAAACTGGGCACAAAATCAGTAGAACAAAATCACTGTTATTGGGGATGCCACTGGTCAAAAGTTCCGAGGGACGAGGAGAGGCTGGGACTCTTCTGTGAGGGTCCGGCATCCAGTGGCGGCAGCAGCCCCAGCGCGTGCCGCCAGGCGCGCGCCCGCGCCAGCTCAGCTCACTCCAGGCTTGCCAGCTCGCCGGGCAGCGCTGCCGCCTTGGCCTTGGCCTTGGCATGCTCCGACTTGAGCACCTCCTCTGTGGCCGCCAGGCCCACGCCCGCCGCCAGGTGGCAGGCGGGGATGAGCAGCATGGCATGTTGCAGACCAACCTGCAGGGGCAGCCAGGCCAGGCCAGGCAAGGCAGGTGGCAGATGCTGTCAGGCGGAGCTGGCTGGCTGGCAAACAGCTCCTTGGCAGCGGGGCGGTGCCCGAGGCCAGCCCCGGTGCTGGAGCGAAACCTCAGGGCGCAGGCCAACACCACGCATGCGCATGCGCACGCCCCCGCTGCGCCGCCGCCAGCAGCCCAGCAGCCCAGCCAGGCGGCGCGCCCAAGCCGGGTGGCCTGCCCGCCGCCAGCCACAGCGCCTGCGGGCCGCCACGTGCTGTACAGCACCGGCAGCCGCGCCGCACCTCTACAGCCAGCAGGGCCACGCCGATGGGGCCAAGAGCCCCGGCCAGCCCTCGGATGCACAGGTGCAGGGCAGAGGCTGTGGAGCCCAGGCCGGGGGGAGACACCTCGCGCACCATGACCGCGGCGGGCGAGCGCCAGCACTCGCTGCAAGGGGGCGGGGGCGGCGAGGGGCGGGGAAGGAGAAGGTGTTTGGGGGCGGGGCAGCAGCGGGGTGGACGCCACCAGGAGGCGCGCCGTGCTGGCGTGAAGCGCGGGAGGAGTTCTCAGCAGCAGCAGCGGCGGCGGCGGCGGCGGGCGGCAGCAGCAGATGAGGCAGAAGGAGCCGCAGCCGCAGCCGCCGCCGCAGCAGAAACAGCCGCCCAGCAAGCTCCTCCTCCAGGCGGCAAGCCTCCCCAGCCAGCCAGCCAGCCAGGCAGCAGCGGCGCCACCTCCCACCTGAGCGCATAGCCCATCAGCAGCGCTGCAAAGGACAGGCGGTAGTCTTCAACCAGCAGCGAGGCCGCCACCAGCGGGGCGGCGGCCAGCGAGGTGCCGGCGGTGAGCCAGCCGCGGGCGCCGCGCGCCGTCAGGCGGTCCCCAAACACGGCTACGGGAGGGGAGGGGGAGGGGCAGGGCCGGTGAGGCCGATATTGTGTGTGCATGTGTGTGTGTGTGTGTGTGTGTGTGTGCAGAGAGAAAGATGGGTGCCGCCCGGCCTAGCCTGCCAGCAGCATGCAGGCCGCCGGGGACGCGTGCCGGCGGCAGGGCGGGCCCACCGCGGCAGCGGCCGGCAGTGACAGCCGCGCGAGCCGCAGCCACACCTGCTCCCACCCCGCCCATGATACCTCCCACTGGGATGATGATTGCCAGCATGGGGGCATACACCGATGGCTCCAGCTCGTACACACGCTGGTAGAAAGTGGCCTGCCAGCCGATAAGCGCCCAGGAGGCCACGTCGCCCGCCGCCGCCGCCGCCGTCAGCGCCTGGAAGCTGCGGTCGCCCGCCAGCTGGCGCAGCTTGGCCAGGCTGTCGCCCAGGCCCGCGGGCGCCGCCGCCGCGGGCGCAGACACCAGCCGGCCCTTTGCTGGCGCCGCTGCCGCTGCCGCTGCTGGCGCTGGCGCTGCTGCTGGCGCTGCCAGGGAGGCGGCAGCAGCGGCGCCTCCTGCCGTCCAGCCGTCGCCGGCAGCGGCTGCCCCGGCGGTGGCGACGCTGGCCCTCTCTGCCGCCTCCTCTTCGCTGTCGCTGCTGAGGGTGACCAGCGGCAGGAATCGGCCCGCCTCACCCTTGCGCCTCGGCTCCTCCATCGTCCAAAGCGCCAGCGCCGCCGCCGCCAGCCCCGGCGGGCCCAGCCACCACAGCAGCGGGCGCCAGGCGGCGGCGGCCGCGCCCAGCGCCGCGCCGGCCTCCCCGAGCGCGGGCAGCTGGGAGGCGCCGCCCTCCGCCAGGCCGGCGGCCTGCTGCCCCGCCAGAATCACCACCACAAACGACAGCGCCCTGCCCAGATAGATGGCGGAGTTGTACACCGCCATGGCGGCGGTACGGTTGGCAGGAAAGAGCTCCGGGATGAGGGAATAGGCCACCGGGTTCTGCACGCCCTGCGCCACCGCAAAGCCCACCCGCGTGGCCATGAGCTGCGGGGGAGGGGGGGGGGGAGGGGGGCAAGGGGCAGGGCCAGCGTGTGTGTGTGTGTGTGTGTTGCGGGCGGGTGGGTAGGTCGCTGGGGCTGCGGGCACAGTAGTGAGTAGGCCGGGAAGCGCATCCATTAATGCAGAGTCTGCGCATGCGATGGAGCGGCGAAGCAGTGCGGGGGTCGCCGCTGGTGCAGCGTGCCTGCGAGAAGGACTGGGACTGAGAGGCGGCCATGGTGAAGAGGCTCCACAGCGCGATGCCGCCCGCCAGCAGGCGCGGGCGGTGCACCGAGTCGGCCAGCAGCCCTGCAGGGATGAGTGCCAGGCCATACACCACCTGCGGCAGGGAGGAAGGCACGGAGGGAGGGAGGGAGCGAGCGAGCGGCTGTGAGGAGGAGTGGTGGTGGCGTGGGAGGTTGTCGGGGGGGCCAGAATGTGCGGCAGTGCGTGCATGCATGGATGCACGTGGCCGGCAGAACGGGAGGCCCCGGGCTGCAGGGCGGGCACAAGGCGCTGCTGCGCATGCAGGCGGCAGAGGCAGCAGGCGGCAGAGGCGGCCGGCGGCAGAGGCGGCCGGCGGCCCCGCCCGTACCGTGTACCCCGTGGTCAGCAGGCCGCCCTGAGGGTCGCTCAGCTGCAGGTCTTCGCTGATCATGGGCAGCAGGGAGGGCAGTGCGTAGATGGTGACAGACAGGTGCAGGTAGCCCAGCGTCATCACCAGAAGGCCCCACAGCGTGCCGGTGTGGGCGGCAGAGGCGCGGGGCTCGGGTGCAGCGGTTGGCTCCGAGGGCAGGAGCGTCTCTAGGGCCTGGGCGTCAGCCAGGCCCACCCCCTGCACCAGAAGGCTGGCGTCCAGGGCGTCCAGGGGCTGCTGCTGCAGCGCCGCGCTCTGCTGCGGAGCAGAGCCATCGCCGCCGAGCGAGGTGCGGTCGGCGAGTGGCGCCGCCAGGCCGCTGGCTGGTGCCGGCACGGTTGGCAGCTCCAGCAGGCTGGCGGCAGCTCCGGCTCCCCGTGTGCTTCCCTCCCCGCCAGGCGCGGCAGCGCAGACTCTCAGGCGGGGCGAGGTGAGGCGCGGCAGCAGGCGCACCGCACGCGGCGGCACCCGCACAGCGGCAGCGGCGGCGCGGCCGCCGGCAGCCTGCAGGGCAGCCGGGGACAGGCAGCATTTCGAGGATCGGCTCGTGCGAGTTGAGTTAGCTCGAAGGAGAGTGAGGGAGAGGGCGCCGCCAGTTCACTTGCCTGGCCGGTTGGCATGGTGATGGAGGCTCTTGCTGGGCGCCCGGCGTGTTCAAATATATTTCTAATAGCGCATGGGACAGGATAATACGCTATGATGATTGACAAAGCGCCGGATGGGAGGTTGCAAACCACCTACAGGCGCTGCGCATCGCACGGCGGGCGATGCCATCTCCGATCCAACGAGAGTTGCCCGCAAGCAGCAATATATGGGTAACATAACTAATATGCAGGATGGGGCGTAGCGGTGTGTCTGCTCCACGTCCAAAGTCGATGGATGTCGCACATCCCGCCCAGCCATAGAGCCCCCTAGACCGATTCCCTTATTCATCAGGATCTGAATCGCCTGTGTTGCATCTGCATTTGCTGAAATGGGGGAGCGCGCCTGCGCCTACCGTGCTGGGGCGTGCTGGGTGACCAGCACATTGCATAAGCGCAGTCGCCTACAGCGTCAACTTGCATCTTGCACTCTTCAGCTGCACTACCTGGACTGCTGGGACGCATCGAACCCCAAGCCCTACACGCCAAACCCGAACCCGCCAAGTCCAGGAAACGGCTCGGGAGGCTCCCGCGCAGGCGAAGAGCTGCTGAGGCAAAGGTGAGCGATATCATGCCGTCATAGGCTGCACAGGGGATGGCGGCCAACCGGGCTGCCGCTGCTGCCGCCGCCCCAGCCCGGCTCGCTGACGGGTCGGTACAGCTCCTGTGTGGCTCCCCCTGCTTTGCAGGGGCTTCCTCGCTCGCCACTCCCACCAGCGGCACCGTCTCGGGGCCAGGCACAGCGCCAGTTGCGAGGCGGGGCAGCGGCTGACTGGACTGCCGCCCGCCTGCCGACTGCCTTCCGACCTTGGCCAAGTTGACCAGCAACAGCTTGCTGCTCCTAGCAGCATGGCCAGGAAGTTTGCAATCCTTGTGGCTGGCGAGCCAGACCAGGCTGTGATAGACCGGTGAGCCTGGCAGCGGCGCAGCGGCAGCGGCGCAGGCAGCGGAGCGGGGTCGCGTGGCGGCATGCGCCTCGCGGCCGCACCCCGCTTCGCTCTGCGCCTGCCGCCTAAACGTGTTGCCGCCTGCGCCGCCCGCTGGTGTTGCCGTGCAGCGTGGCGAGCCCCGTACCTTCAGCGCAGCACAATCAATCCAAAACACACCCTTGCGCTGTGTTGTCTAGCAGGAAGGGCACCTTTGAGCAGATGTTCCTTGACCTGCTGCGGGACGAGGGGCGGCAGGAGGAGGAGTGGCAGCTCTTCTTTGCCTTCCAGGGCCAGCTGCCCAGCGAGCAGGAGCTGGACGCGCTCAGCGGCGTCGTCATCACCGGCAGCGTGTGAGCCGGGGGGCGGAGGGCGGGGGCAGGTGGCGGCGCGGCTTCGCAGCTTCGCGGCGGCTGCGATGGTGCTGCCTGGACGTCCGCCGGGCAACTGTGCCGCTGCCGGTTGCTCCAAAAATGATCTGGGGCATGCCAGGCTCCACCTGGCCCTGCACCTGCCCCTGCCCATCCCATCGCCTCGCATGTGCACCAGCCAGCATCCCTGCCGCCCTCCCTCGTTCTGATGGCCAGCGCCCTGCCGGCTGCTGCCCTCCCCGCACAGGGCGGACGCCTTTGGCGACGAGGACTGGCTGCGAGACCTGCGGCGCACGGTGCGGGCGGCCATGGACCAGCGCAAACAAGTGCTGGTGAGTGCGGCGCTGGGGGGCGGGGCCGCCTCCCTGCCCCGCGCCCGCAGATGGCTTGCTTTGGCGGCTTGCGGCTGCCGCGACGGCGGCTGCGGCGGCGGCCTTGCGCGGCTGCTGCTGGCCCTGTGGCAGGCCGGCACACATCACTGCTTGGCGAGCCACCCATGGCCGGCCCCTCCTGATACCGATGCCGCTCCCGCTTCTGACCCCGCCGCTGCTGCCGCCGCCTGATCCCGCCGCGCGTGGGCTGCGCTGGGAGCAGGGCGTCTGCTTCGGGCACCAGCTGGTGGGCGTGGAGCTTGGGGCGCGCGTGGGGCGCGCCGGCTGCTGGGAGGTGGGGGCGCGGGAGGTGGCGGCGGCGTCCGGCGCGCGGCGCGCGCTGCAGGAGCGCGGCGCGGGCTGGGCGGGACTGCTGCCAGACCGGTTGTGCCTGCACGAGTTCCACCAGGACCAGGCGAGACGCCCGCTGTACCGCATGATGCACCGCATGATGCCGCTGCTGAGACAGACGCGGACGCGCCGGCAGCGCCGCTGGCTGTGGCGCGGTGTGTCGATTTGCTGGTGGACGTTTAAACATCCCTGGTCAAAGCCGCGGAGCAACGGCCGTCAACCCGTCTGCCCCACCTGCCTGCCCTGTTCTGCCTGCCTGCAGGTGCTGGAGGTCCCGCAGGGCGCTACCCTGCTGGCCTCCTCTGAGCGGTGCCCCGTGGAGATGTTTGCGGTGGGCAGCCACGTGCTGTGCATACAGGTGGGCAGGCATGGCGCGCAGGTGGCGCCAGCTGCGTGCGCGGTCGCAGCATGCTGCACTTGCCGGCGCCCTGTGTGTGCTAGGCGCAGGTGCCAGGCGCAGGCTAGGGCAGCGCGTGAGCTGCTTGAGCAGCCGCAGGCAGGCGGTGGGGGGGGCTGCCATCGGCGCGCGCATCTCCCGCCACCTGCCTGCCCTGCCCTCCACCGCACGCCTCACCGCCAACACACCACCAACCCTCCTGCACCTTCCCGCCCCCTCCTCCCTCTCTCCCTCCCCAGGGCCACCCAGAGTTTGATGGGGAGGTGGTGCGCCTGCTGGCGCAGCCGCGCCTGGAGAAAATGGGCGCCGCTGACGTGGCGCGCATGGAGGAAAGCATGGCCAAGCTGGCGGTGGGCGAGCAGGCCGCGCAGCTGCAGCGCCTGTGCCGGGCCTTCCTCAAGGGCGGCTGATCCCAGCTGACGCGCGGCCTTCAGCTGCAGGCGGGTGGATGCGCGGCACAGCGCCGGGCCTGACAGCGCCGGCGCCCTGCCACCATGCCAATACCGATACTGCTGTACTGCTGCACTTGGAAGGCGGTACCTGAGCCTGCCGCAGCTAGATAGCCAGCGGTGCAACCCGTGCCCCCCACATCCTTGCCTATCTTGTCCTTCCCATGCAGTGCCTGGTCATTTTATATGTCTGTTTATCATGGGCAAGTGTACAAACTAGCAGCAGCGCGTGCAGCCTGAAGCGGGGGGGCATACTAAGTGATGCATTGTTGTTCACCAGCCCGCACCAGGTTGGCGCAGTGGCGGCGTCACCTGCCAGGCATGGGGTGGGCTGTGAAGCAGGAGAGGCAGGAGGCGAGGCGTGCTGGAGGGTGGAGGCTGAAGAGGGCAGAAAGGAGGGTTCGCTCGGACGGATGGTTGGGGAGGCAGGCAGCGGCCAACCGTGGAGGGCGGGCCGCAGCTGCTGCTGCCGCACACAGGGCACGGATGGGGCCTGGAAAGAAGTGCAGCGCACACAAGCGCGCACAGCAACACAGACAGTGTGGGTGGCGGGACAGGACGGCGCAGCAACGGGAGGCACTCAACAGGGCAAAAGGGCTAGAGGGAGGGAGCAGCGGCGAGGATGTGGGCGCCCCGCAAGCCACGCAGGCTTTGCTGGTGAGGCAGGCACAATAGAGAGAGAGCGGCGCGGGTGGGGCCCCGCGGGGAGAGCCAGAGAGAAGGAGGTTTCCCCTGTGGGGGCAGCACACTCAGGGGTGTGTTGACGCCCCCAGCGCTAGCTCTCCTAGGGGTCTGCGCCCCCGAGCATGATGGCTTCCATCTCTCGATCGCTGATGGTACGGCGGGCGGGGCCGGGCGGCCCCGCCGGTACCGGCGGGCCTCGCAGGATGGGCATGGACCCACCCACGATCGGCACCGCAATCATGTGCTTGTACTGCTCCGGTACCAGCGGCGGAGGCAGCGGCGCCGTGTCGCCGCCGCCGGCCAGCAGGCCCGCCAGCAGCTGCGCCGCTTCAGACTTGGGCAGCGCGCTGATGAGCTCGCCGCTGGGGGTGCGGCGCGGTGGGAAGCTAATCGCTGGCGTGCGGTGGGAGGCGGCGGGCGGGGCTGCCGCCGCGGCCGGCGCGGGCGGGGCCGCGGGCGCGGGTGCTGCGGCCGCCTTGGCGCCGCGCTTCTGCTTCGGCTGCTTGGGCGGCGGCGCGGCGGGCTCGGGCGGCGGCGCGGCGGCGGCGGCGGGTTGCGCAGCCGCCTCCAGGCTGTCGCTAATAGTCGCCACCACGTGCCCCACCTCCACATTCTCATCCGGCTTCACCTGCGTCGGCAGCGGCGCATGCATGCATGCATGTGAAATCAGCAGGGGAGGCACAAGCCACGGCGGGCCTGAACATGCAGCATGCTGCATGCCCTCCAAGCAAGCCCCCTGCCGCAGCCCGTGGCAAAGCCCCCAGCCTCCAACCCCTGATGCCTTCCTGCGCCCACCTCCCACCCCACCCCGCTCCTCACCAGGATGGCCTCGATCACTCCTGCCCGCGGCGCCCGCACATCCACCGTCACTTTGTCCGTCTCGATCTGAAGGATGGCTTCATCCTCCTCCACCTGTTCTCCGGCCTGCTTCAGCACGGTCGCCACCGTGCCGTCCGATATGCTCTCTCCCAGGGCCGGGATCTTGACCTGTAGGCTGGCCGCCAGCGCCGCGCTGGTGTGGAGCGCGCCCGCCGCAGCCAGCGCCGCCCAGCCGCCGCCGCCTCCCGCTGCTGCGGCCGCCCTGGCGCGCAGGCCGAGCTGCCGCGACAGTGAAGATAGCATGGTTGCTGCCCGGGAGCTGGCAGTGAGCCGCAGAGCTTGGTTATTCGCCCGGTTGAGTCACAACTGTTGGCGGCAACAGGACCCTTGACCTGCGCTACTGGGTGGTGTTGGCGGAGGTTAGCTCTGAATGAAGCAGCGCCCTAGGGATTCCAATTCTCTTGACACGTTTTTTTGTGCGGCCGAGTTGGCAAGACCCCATGAAGTGGGCTTCCCAGCCCCACCTGAATCTCTGCACGAGCATCAACGGCCCACCAAAGATCATCGGAACATTGCAAAGCGCCCTTTGCTCCGACCTAGCTCATCACTCCGAGACTAGGGCGGGGCGCACCGCGGCGCCTGCAGGCCGTGGCCGGCGTCCACCACCTCGATTAATCTTGGCCGCTCGCAGCAGGCGCGACAGCAACACCAGCAGCGCTAGCCTCTCGGCGCTTCACCACCGTCGGTTCCTGCCGGTCCGCCGCCCGGCCACTCGCCCCAGCCTCGAGTGCCGCCCCAGCAATGAGCCTGCACGAGCGGCTGAGCATAGGCCTCATCGTGGCTGGCGGCGCGGTGCTGCTGGGCCACCGAGCGCTGGCAGCCCTGCGCGAGCGCCAAGTGCGGCGCCCTCGCACGCCACACGGTGGGGACCGCTGCAGCACCGCAGTCACGTGACTGCAGCGCCGCAGTCACGTGCTCTGCACGGCTGGAATGCATTCTCCGCTCTATGCGTTGCGGTGGCTGGCACCGCAGCAGATGCCAGGCGCAGGCTACATCAATGCCACTTCTGGCAACTGCGGCGCTGCCGCTGCCGCTGCCGCTGCTCCCTGCTGCGTGCAGGCAATCCCGCCCCTAAGGAGCTACATGTGGTGCTGCCGCCGTCTGCGACCATGTGGCGCCGCATCATCGTCGTCGGCGACATCCACGGCTGCCCCGGTGAGAGGCCCCTGCTGGCCCGCTGTGCTGCCGACAACACTGCCGTACGGCTTTCCCTCTTCCGTCGTTAAGGGTGCCCAAGCGGAGGCCCGCCGCCGCCTCCCTGCTTGCCTCCCCAGCGCGGCCCGGACCCGCGGCCCTGCCCCCCTGTGTTGTGCAGAGGAGCTTCAGGCACTGCTGGACAAGGTGCGGTACCGGAAAGGGGTAGACCTGCTGGTCAGCGTGGGGGACCTCGTGAACAAGGGGCCCGACTCTGAAAAGGTGGGCAGGCAGGCAGAGAGAGGCGTTGCTGTTACGTATGGTAACTAGGGCCGCAGGGCCGGCAGTGGCGCTGCTGCAGTCTGTGGTGTGCGCCGCGAGGGAGGAGGAGGAGGGCTGAGCACAGGCTGCAGCCGGGCTGCTGGGACTGCTGGAAAGCACGCCGGCACTGACCGCTGGCCCGGCAGGTGATCAAGCTGGCCATGGAGAGCGACTGCCTGGCTGTGCGGGGCAACCACGATGACTCCGGTGCGGGCCTGCTTGTTTTTGTTTTTTATGTTTTCTGGTTTGCCCGCACGCATGCACCCGCCTCTTGTGCCTGCCTGCCTGCCACCGCAGCTGCCCGCCCAGTTGCATGCCTGCTGCTGCGGCCGCCGCGCCTCTGCGCCTCCCGCCCACATTCCGCCGCGTGCTGCGTGCTGCACGCAGCGTACGAGGCCTTCCGCTGCTGGCTGGACGGCAAAGACATCCCCAAGCCCAAGAAGCAGGGCTGGGTGGCGGGGCTGGATGAGCGGCTGGCTGCCTACCTCTGCAAGCTGCCCTACACCATTCAGGCGCCTCGGCTGCCGGCCTGCCTGCGTCACCCCACCTTTGGCGGGCCTCACCCCGCCTTTGGCGGGCGGCCTGCATCTGGGCTTTCCCTGTGTGCATCGGCCTGCGTGCCCGCCTGCCTGCCAAGCGCTGGCCGGGACACCCTCTCCCACCCACCCACCAGCCACCCAACCAGCCACCTGCTCGCGTTCCCTTCTCCTTTTTCTGCAGCTGCCAGCGTACGGCGTGATTGTGGTTCACGCCGGGCTGGTGCCGGGGGTGCCCCTGGAGCAGCAAGGCATGCTGGAGATGGAGAAGATGCGGGATGTGGTGCCTGCGGTGGAGGCCGCGCCGGCAGACGCAGCGGCAGACGCCCTGGCCGCCGGCGCCGACGTGGCCACCCTGCCGCTCAGCTCCTTTGATTGGCGGGCGGCCGGCCAGGCGCTGGCGCAGCTGGCCGCCGCCGACGAGGGCGGCAGCAGTCGCAGCAGGAGCGGCAGCGACGGGGCGGAGCCGGAGGCGGCAGGCTCCCGCCTGCCTGCCGAGCTGCAGCTGGTGGGGAGGGAGGTGCCCAACCCGCTAGGGCGGGCCTGGGCCGAGGTGTGGCGCGGCCCGCAGCACGTCTTCTTCGGCCACGACGCCAAGCGGTGAGTTGGTTGAGCGTGGTGCCCTGGGGTTGGCTGGATTCTTGTTAAATATTGATCTCGGCCGCCAGCTGTGCTGACGTGGCAGTTCTCGCCAGTGCTCCCACTCTTCTGCCCCGGCCACCCCCGCTGCGCCCCGCAGGCGCCTGCAGCTGTGCCCCGCCGCCACCGGGCTGGACACCGGTTGCGTGTACGGCGGGCAGCTGAGCGCCGCGGTGCTGCCGCCGCTGGACGAGCGCGGGCAGCCGCTGCTGCAGCGCCTCAACCTGCCGCCGGGTGCGGCGGCGCCGGCGCTGCAGCGGCCGCCCGTGCTGCCCGCTTGCGCTGCTGCTGGCTGGGCTCGATGGCGTGGCGCCCAGCTGGCAGCTGGCCTCCTACTGTTTGGTTCATGATGCGTGCATGGCTCTGCCCACCCTTTTGCACCCTCCCCATGTGCCGCCCGCCGAAGCGCCCTTGCCCTGGCGCCTGCCCGCCCCCTCTTGCCCTCTTCTCTGCAGACGCCCGGGAGTTCCGGCTGTGCGGCGGGCTGCCCGCATACCTGGTGCAGGTTGCCGCCAGGGAAGTACACTCAGACAAGTTCCTGAGGCTGGAGGAGCGGGAGAAGGGGGCGCGCCAGGAGGCCGCCAAGCAGCACACGCTGGCGGCGCTGGAGCTGCAGCCGCGGCGGCAGGGCGCGGGGGCCAGCGGCAGCGGCAGCGTGGGGGCCAGCGGCAGCGGAGCGGCGGCCGGGGCCGCCAAGGCCGCGGCGGACAAGAAGGAGGAGTGAGGCGGCGGGGCGCTGCCTGCGCGGCGCCATGCGGCACCACGTGGCGCCTTGTACATGCTGGACAGAGTGTTACAGTACAGTTCTTGTGCAAAGAAGGAAGCATTAAAGGGAAAGCAAAGGACCAGCCTGGCTGGCGGCAGCTGGCAAGGGCGGCAACGAGCAGGGAACAGAGGGACAGCCGTCAAAAGAGATGCACCACGTTGTTTGCTAACGTCCAAAACAGGATGAACGTCAGCATCTCTGTTTGCGACAGGATGCCGCTGAACGCCAGCGTGGTGCTGCAGGCAGGGGCGACGGCCGGGCAAGCGGGTGAGCGGGCGAGAGGCATGCCACTCTGAAGGCGATACGTCTATCAATGCGAGACCTCTTCGCGCACAGGCCATCCGGGCACGCGAGGCAGGCAGCAGCAGCACATGCACCAGCACAGGCCTGCAGCGCACGCAGGAGCTCACGGCGACGGGAAGAAGCGGCGGGGGTGCGGCGAGGCCTTGAGAAGCAGCAGGCCGGCCATGATGGCGTGTGCCAGCAGGTAGACAATGAATCCCTTGTAGCCCGTGATCCCCGAGATGCCCGCAAACACGCCCGCCAGCAGCGAGGCGAAGATTTTGCTGCGGGCGGGCGACAACGGCGGCGGTGAGCGGCAGGCCGGAGAGCAGCGGCGGCAGGGAGCGCGCGGCGCGGGCGGCGCCAGCCTGTGCGGCCCTCACTTGAAGTTCATGACGTCGTAGTTGTTCTTGATGTTTTGGGGCACGTACAGCTGATCGCCCAGTGCCTCAGAGGCCCGCCCTCCGATGGGCGCCCCCTGGGGCGCGCCGGGCACGGGCGGCGCCTGCATGCTGCTGTGGGATGTGACACCGCTGCTGGGAGCCGCGATGCCTGCGTGCGGTGCGAGAAGTGGACTGCAGGTGCTCAAAAGCGGCTGCAATTGCGCTTGTATGAAGGAAGCAGCAGAGAGATCACTGGAACATGGCAGGGGATCGGGAGTGCGTCAACTCATGATGGCGAGCTCCTCAGCGCGGCGCAGCAGGCCGCCGCCCAGCCCGGCGTCCCCTAACAGCTTGCATTTTACATGCACGTCAAGTCACTCCCAAAGCGCTCCCTGCTGCGGCTCCGGGGCGCCCTGCACCAGGCTCTCGGGAGCATCCCAGGGCATGCTGGAGGCCGGGGAGGGGGCGGGGGAGGGCCCGCCCTGCCCCGCCCTGCCCCCGGCGGGGCTGCGGCCCAGGGCCGTGTCTATGTCGGTGCAGATCACAAAGTCGTCCTCGCCCACCACTTCATAGGTTGTACTGCAGTAGGTGCAGTTCCGGTAATCGCTGTCGCAGGCGATGCAGTTGTCGGCGGCGCACGGGGCGCACAGCCCGCTCTGGTTCTTGCCCCAGCCAGCCCAGATGTCGCTGTAGCACTCGGAGCACTGGCGGTGATCCTTGCCGCAGTCGGAGCAGTATGGGTCGACACACTGCAGGCAAGGCGGCGCAACAGCAGGCTGCAGGCTCAGCAGGAGGAGTCGCCCTGCCAGGCGGCGCCACAGCAAGTGTGTGCGTGTGTGCGTGTGACACAGACAGTGACGACGGCAGAGACAGCCAGGTGTTGCAGCTTGCACCCGCTGCCGCCCTTCTCCCTGCCGGCCCGCTCACCGGCAGGCACGTCTTGTTGGCGGCGAGGCCGAAGGGCTCATACCAGCCGTCGCCATGCCAGTTGGCGCACTCTGTGCACACGCCATCCGGCCCGCAGCTCTGGCAGTTCTCCCCGCAGTAAATGCAGCTGCCGTCCACCGGCACAGCATGGTAGGCTCCTGAGTAGGCTATCACCAACATGTCAGCACCCTCGGGCTCGATTTTGCCGGCCTTCAGGCAGCCAGTGCAGCGCTGGCCGGTGGCGTCACAGGCGCCGCATCCTGTCGACAGCGGGTGCGCGGTGCACTGCACGCAGGTGGCACGTCGGCGGCACCGTGTGATTGGGGCAGGAGTGGCTGGTCCCACAATCAAGCTGTAAGCATATAATCAAGCAACAGTGAAAGGCGGTTGCATGAGACTCTTGGGTGCCACGTCGTGGCAGGTCCATGCGCCGCTCCCGCCCGCAGCGCCCACCTCGTGGCACCAGCCGTCCTCCCCGAGGTAGAGGGGGAAGGAGGAGTTGAGCAGCTGCTGCATGCCGCTGGGGTACCGCTGGTCAAACGACGACCAATGCGGTACAATGGTGCGCAGCATCTCAAAGGCGTCCCTGCAGCTCTTGCACTGGTCCTCGCTCGGGGTGCACTCCATGCAGCGCGGGTCGGCGCAGCCGTTGCTCTGCGGCGGGGGATGGAACGGATGGACGGGGGTGAGCATGGCTGAGCAGCAGGCACCGATGGGGCAGGGCGGGCGGGCAGCCACCAGGCCAGCGCCAGTATCGTTGAGCTGAGCCCAGAGAGTGAAGGGGCTGGCATTGAGCTGGGGCAGGGATGTCGGCATCGGCTCAGCACTGGCAGAGCTCACCGGCGTGCACTTGCCGTCGGCCGCCACATGGAACCCGTCCCAGCACTCCAAGCACCTCGTCGCGTCTGAGTTGCATTGGGAGCATTGCAAATCGAAATAGCAAGGTTTTGCACCCGACTGCAAGGGGAGGTACAGGGTTAGAGAAAAGGGTGAGGGACAGGCAGCAATGGGCAAGGGAGCGAGCGCACGGCATTCGAGAGGCCGCCTCGGTGCCGGGCAGAGCGGCACCGAGCGGGAGCCGCTGGCATGAGCGGACGGCAGGCGCTCGGCCTCCGTCTGCACCTTTGGTGCACCCTCAGGACCTGCAAGCGCGCATGGCACAAGAGGAGAGTGAGCAGCAGGCGTGCAAGGCCGCCGGGCCCTGACATCTGGTCAGGTTTGTAGCTCCCAGAACCGGAACCCTTACTTGACAGCAGCGCCCTGCCGTTTGACGCGGTTGCTAAGGTGGCAACAAACGGCAGCAGCAGCAGGAGCTCCGCCGACACCAGCATCTCGTGATACAGCCGCGCCATGCCGCTCTGGGCCGGGTAGCCCCTGTTTCGGACCCTATGAGTTTGATTCAGAGCCTTGTGTAGAACGCCGTCCGTCGCGGTATCCATTGGGGGGAGCATGGCAAAGTACCTGCGACGTGGCGGCGAGGGTGATGTCGCGGCGCCACCCGCGGCGGCGCTACCCGGAGTGCATGCACGGGCATGGCGCATGGGGTTAAAGGTACAAAGCACATTGCAAAAACAGGCAGTGAAAAAATAGAGAATTAATTGAACGAGAACAGAGCAGGAAAAGCCAGGGATAAAGGAGGGTGTCTCAAATATCACCAGAAGCAGAAGAAGAACAACAGCGGGAGCAGGCGGGGGCCAGCAACATACAACTAGGGCACGGGGGCTGCATCATGATGTGATCACGGCTGGCCGCCTGCCACAGCCTGAGCCATCCAGACGGCAGCTACCGCTGCAGGCAGGCGGGGCAGTGGGAGCGGGCGACATCACCGCCTGCAGGCATGCCCCCAGCCAGAGCCCAGCACCCTTCCAGGCCAAGTGCACGCGCAGCTCCCCGCCTCACCGGCGTCGGCGGCAGTGGCTGTCCCCAATCCAGCTGCTGCGTGGGCGGCCCAAGCATCCCCAGCGCTCGCTGCAGGCGGGGGAGTGCATGCGAGAGCTGACGCCGGGTTCCAGCCTGGCGCCGACGCACACCATACTGCCGGCGTCGACTTGTCACACACACCACACACACACACACATGCACACAGCACCACCAGCCGCCACCCACCCGCGGCACAAAGGCGTCAAAGTCCTTGAGCAGGGCTGGGTGCCCGGCAAACAGCGCCTGCACGGCCGCCCGCAGCGCCGCCACATCCAGGGCCCCGCCTCCGTACCGCTGCATCGCGTCCAGAAAGCGCCGGTACACCTGCGGGCGGTCGCGGTACCGTGCCCGCGCCTTGGCAAGGAAGGCCACAGCATCGTCCATCACCATCACAGGATGGTCGGCCAGCCTGGGCGGTGTGGGGCGGGAGGGCGCCGGGGCCGGCGACGGCGGTCCCTGTAGCCCTGTGGGTAGGAAAGCGTGGCGGGGGGGTGGGAATCCCAGCTCAGGCTTCAGGGCGGATGCAAAACAAGGCGCGCGAGGCGGCGGGCGGCGACAGCGGCATGGCGCGGCGGGAGCGCGGCGGGGGTGGGGCGGCCTCGCGGCAGGTGTCGCCATCAATGCCGCCGCTTCCACCAACTTGTGTATGCAAGGCTGTAGGGTCGCGTGAGAAACCGGGAAAGGCTTCGCCAACCATTCGAAATGGCGAAGCTCACCAGATGTCCAGTTCGGACTCCTCCCTCCCTCGCTTCATCCTGGATGGCCACCACCGCAAATGGTGCCCCGATGGCATTGGGCGCGTGCGATGGCATTCATCGCCTAGCCTGGGCGCCGGCGCCGGCGGCAGAGGGGCGCAGCGCAATGCCGCACTGGGCAGCACATACTGCAATCGAGCTTGCCTTCCATAGTGGGAATCCCAGATATCGCTGTGGGCATGCAGTAGTGTGGACAATGCGAGGCGCATTCAGCTGCAGCAGCATGCATGGCGGCGACCGCACAGATGCCCATTTCTGATGCCGCCGCCTGCGCAGGTCACTGCATCTGTAGCGCCGCGTCCCATTGCTGGGCGCGCCCTTCCAGCATCTGGTCGACCTACCTTCCCTCCTGCTGGTATCACCAGTGGTATGGGAGCGCAAACCGTCAGGCTGAGCCCAGGCTGGTCAGCTGGATAGTCTCGCCCCCTCATTCATTCATTCAATTAGAGAGGCAACCACCACTAATACATTCAGGCAGGATGCGCGTCGGCCACAGCCCCCTGTGGGGCGACCGAGCGGCCAAAGCCAGCGGCTGGAGGGCCTTCCTCCTCTTCCCGCTCCTCCTTTGGGAGCGCATCTTCTACTCGAGGCGAGCCAGCCAAACAGCCAGCCTGCCTGCCTGGCCCGCCGCCGCCGCCGCCGCCGCCGCCCAGTCCGAAGGGGCAGCCGCCGCCACTGGCACTCCGCTGCTGCCCACCACGCCTTTGTTCAGAAGCCTTGTCCCGCATTGCTGCCGCCCACGAATGTGAGCGGCGCCTTGTTCAGCCTCCTTGCCCACCCGCCCCGCGGCGCAGGATCGACGTCACCACCTGCAAGACGCGCCCCGGCGACTGGCGCCGCCTGCAGGGCGACCGCCGCTTCTTTGACGCCATGTTTTGCTATGTGGGGCCACCCAGCCACTTTATCTGGAACCTCAGGCTCCCGCTGGCACTGGTCATGCTGGTCTCGGCGGGGATGGCAGTCTACGAGTACTGCCGCACCACTCTGGGCTGGGGCCTGCCAGAGGTGACTGCCGGCCGCACAGGCTCGCCTGCTCTGCGCACCTGCATGCCGACCGCCACGCCTTGTGCTGGTGCTGGCGGTGGAGCGGCGGGGCCGCCACTCGTTGGCAGGGGGGTTTGGGAGCCATGCACCCAGCCGCGCCGCACGGCTGCGCGGGCCGCGAGCAGCGGCACCAGGCCCGCACTCCCCAGGCTGGCACGACAGCGGGCAGCAACCCCTGTGCCCACCCCCTCGTCGCCTGCAGCTGGACCGCAACGATATCATGTACGATACCTTCCGCCTGGCTTCCTTTGCCATGGCACTGCTGCTGAGCCTGCGGGTGGGGCGCACGTATGACCGATGGTGGGTGGCGCGCTGCGGCTTCGCCGGGGTGGGCAACGCAGCCACCGCGCTGACGCAGCAGGCGGCCGCCTGGGTCGACGACGAAGACCTGCAGGCGCGGCGCTGGGTGCTGGGCGGTGCTGCTGCACTTCAACTTGCGGCGCCTGTCATGGCAGCGGTGGACCTGTTGCGTTTGGGGTTCTCCGGCCCAAGGTCCCGGCCAGTACCGCCTCCTGCCCCGCCCGGACTGACACCGCATGCCGTGCTCCGCTGGCCTCCCCGCTGGCCCTCCGCTCGCAGGCCGACATCCGGCGCTGGGCGGTGGTGTGGCACTACAGCGTGCTGCAGGTGGTGCAGGGCGACAAGGAGCTGCGCCCGGCGGCGGCGGCCCTGCTGTGCGACGGCGAGCTGGCCCTCTACTCTGCCTCCCGCAAGGGCCGCCAGATGGTGGCCAGCCAGCTGCGCCTGCTGGTGCGAGAGGCGGGGCTGGCGGTGGAGCTGACGGCGGCCATGGAGCAGACTATCGGCAAGGGGTGGGCGGACGCGGGCAACTGCGTGCGCCTGCGCTTCCAGGCCATGCCGGCGGGCCTCGCCCTCATCTCAACCGGCTTCGTGCTCATCTGGCTGGTGGGCGGCGCGGGCTGCCGCTACGGCTGCCGCTGCGCTGCTGGCCCGGCCTGGCAGCTGGCACCCTGCCGCGCTGCTGGCACGCCTGCGCTGCTGGCACCGTGGCCCACCTGCGCTGCTGGCATGCCTGCGCTGCCCGACTGACATGCTGTCTGAGCTCAGGGCGGCGGGCTGGCCGGGGCGTGCCCGCCCACCTCCTCCGCCGCCGCCTGCCGCCGCGGGCACCCGCGCGCCGCGCAGCACGCCGCGAGGCAGCCACGGCTTCCCTGCCCGCCTCCTCCCTCCCTCGCACACGCTCGGCACCTGACCCCGCACCGCACGCCTCCCCCTCTCTCCCTCCCACACACATGATTATGCACACGTACTCTCTGTCACATGCACCCCACCCCACCCTGCCCCTGCCCTGCCCGCCCCTGCAGATGCTGATCCCCTTCGGCGTCTGGACCACCGAGAGCTGGTTTGCCCTTGGGGCCATGTTCTTCGTGGCTCTGCTGCTGCTGTCTGTGGACGAGATCGCCACGCAGGTGGGGGCTGGCAGCTGGCAGCACCACCGTTGTAGGCTGCGCTCGGAGCGCTGGCAGCATGCTTGGGAGCACCAACAGCACCCGTGCGCGCACACACACACAGCCGCAGCGGGTGGGTGCCCCCGGCCGCGGCTGCTGCCCTGGGGAGTTGCCAGCAAGGCGGCCGGGCTGCCCTCCCGCCGCCCTGCAGCCGTGCACCTGTGCACCCACCCACCCACCCTGCCTGCCTGCCTGCCTGCCGCCCTCTACACAGATGGAGAATCCCTTCCCGCTGCTGCCCATGGATGAGATGATGGACAGCACCGTGCGGGACACTGAGAGGTGGGTGGGTGGGTGGGTGGGTGCTTCTGAGTGGGTGAGACGTAAACGGCATGGGCACGGGCTCCACAGCAGGAGGGAACGGCACTGCGGAGCGGCGGCTAGTGCGGTGCGCCTCGCGCTGCCGGCAAGCAGCACTAGTGCAGAGGGGGGATTGCGCTGACGCGCCGCCTTCCCTGCCTGCCGCACCCGCTGCCCGCTGCCGTCCCGCCCGGCGCAGGGCGCTGAGCGAGGCCGCGGCGCTGAGGCGGCTTCGGCAGAGCCGCAAGCCGGGCAGCCAGGCTTCGCTCAGCCACGCGGCGGTGACTGTTGACGGCGGCTGAGCGGCGGGCATGCGGTGCTTGCGCCCGCTTGCGTCGGAAGGGATCGGCGAAGCTCACCAGATGCCCACTTCCGCCTCCTCCCTCCCTTGCGTGCTGCGATGGCATCAGGCCTGCAATTAGTGGGGTCTGATAGCCTGGGAACGGCAGGCGCCGGCGGCAGAGCACAGCTCTGCCCTCGCTGCCTGCTTCTCCTCCAGATGGGAGACTCGGCGAATTTCATGTATGGTAATGAGAGAATGGCAACGGATAAAAGGACTGGGCGAGGGGTCAGGTCAGTCACAGATGTCGTGGGTGACGGCACGGGTGGCAGGCGCCAGGGAGGGAACCCTCATGACCCGCTCAGGTCTCCCTCTCAGCGCCAGAACGCCTCTCCTCTCCCTCCCGCCCTCTCGATATGGCCCCGTCTCTGTCCTCTGGCAGCGCTGCTCGGGAGGGCTCCCGCGATGGCGGTGCCGGGCCCTCTGTTCCTCAGCCGGTGAAGACTGCACAGGCGGTGACGCAGGCTGCACCCCAGAAGCAACTCGCTGAAGCGAAGGTGGGGCCAGTTGCATTCCGCCCCCCGCCGCTGCCCCCGCCCCCGCCGCTGCCCCCGCCCCCGCCCCGCCCCGTTCTTAAACCCGAGTCCGTGCGTGCCTTCTGCAGGAGACGCTGCACGTGGCGGTACAGAGGCCTGGGCGGCTTGTCTGCCTCAAAGCGCTGTATGCCTGCTTGGCTGAGGGAGCAGACGTCAACGAGAAGGATGCTGACGGGTGCACCGCCCTGCACCTGGTCGCCTTTTATAACCCAGACCCGGCAGCGGTGGGCGCCGTGATTGCGGCGCTGGTGGCAGAGGGTGCGGATGTGTGCGCCAAGGCCAAGGGCGGTGCTGAGCCGCTGCACTGGGCGGCAAAGAACCCACATGCGGCAGCTGCGGCAGCGGCGGTGCAGGCGCTGGTGGCAGCTGGTGCAGACCTGACAGGCAAAGAGACGAAATCGGGCGCGGAGCCGCTACACTGGGCAGCAAAGAATACCAACGCTGAGGCAGCGACAGCGGCGGTGCAGACGCTGCTGAAGGCTGGCGCAGACGTTCGGGCGAAGAGCAACAGCGGCGCTGAGCTGTTGCACTGGGCGGCGCGCAATTTTGATGCTCCGGCAGCAGCGGCAGCAATCTAGGCGCTGGTGGCAGCAGACGCAGAGGTGTGGGCCAAAGATGAAAACGGCCGGGAGCCGCTGCACTGGGCAGCAAAGAACATCGCGACGGGGGCGGCCACAGCAGCTGCCCACGCTCTGCTGGAGGCGGGGGTCTGCACCAGCGCTTGCGACAAGGCAGGCGCTCCTCCCTGGCTTCTGGTGCTGGAGCGCGCGGATGTAGCAGCATGCGGCGAGCTGCTTCAGCTGCTGGCACCTGGGGAGCACACCGCTGCAGCAGACGGCGCAGGCAGCAGCAGCGACGGCAGCACAGAGCAGCTGCTAAAGGCGACGGCAGCGGCCGTCCGCCAGCTGCTGAAGCGCAAGCAGCCTGCTGAGGCGGAAGCGGCCGGGGGCGAGTGTGTGGTGTGCCTGGATGCGCCGCGCACGGTGGCGCTGCTGCCGTGCGGCCACCTGGCGCTGTGTGCGGGCTGCGCCAAGAAGGAGGAGGCGCGCCGGCGGTGCCCGGTGTGCCGCAAAAAGTGCGGCAAGCCCCGCGGCAAGGCCGTCACCATCTACCACCCCTGAGCCTGGTGTTGATGTGGCTGCCACTTTTCAGCTGCAAAATCGTTGTGGTCTGATTGTTCCGAGTTGCTTTAAGCTGCTTCTTTGCAATCCTCATCTGTACCTGTGCTTTTCTAAACACACTCTGCTTCTCCTTGCCTTTTCCAGTCTTGATTACACTGTGCTCTGGGGCAGATCCACAATGCTGTAAATTGGCGCTGGCAAGGCCTAGCGCAGCCGCTCCCATCAGCTGCCTGGAGGAAGCCCCGCCTCTCATGCCGCCGTCACCGACACGCTGAGCACGCTGCCCGCCGCCGGCGACGCCTTCAGCGCCGCCGCCTGCGCCACCGCCGGCGACATGCGGCCCTGCGCAGGCCGCACCGCGGCGATGCGATCTATGCGCTCTGCCCCGTCCACTGCCACTGCTGCTGCCGCCGCTGCCACCTTGCCCGCTGGTGAACCCGGCGCCGCCGCCACGGCAGCGGCTGCCAGCGGCGCCAGGCCTCCCGCCGCTGCAGCCGCCGTCGGCGTGACCGCCCCTGAGCTCAGCAGGCTGGCGGCCCCGCTGCCCCTGCCCTGCTGCTGCAACTGCTGCTGCTGCTGCTCCCCGCCTGCCACCCCCGCCGCCACCTGGGCGCCTCCCTGCGCCAGGCCACGCTTCTGCTCGAAGTAGCGGCGCTTCACCTCCCCCATCTCCCGCTGCAGCCGCTCTATCTCGTACTTGTATTCCTGGACCTGCTTGGGGGGCACGGGGAGGAATGCGCGGCGGGGAAGTAGGGGGAAAGCAGGGCAGGGGAGGGGAGCATGCATCGGCCCGGCAGTCTAGCATCCCAGTCGATGGGACGGCGGGTGAGATGCACCCCACTAGCGGGGAGCTCATGCCCGGTACCGCTCCTGCGGGTACCGCTGCAGTGCCGCCACGGCAACTCCAGCATCGCCACCCCAGCACCGCCACCCCCACAGCAGGAGGGGCAGCGTGCCTGCGCTTGGTACATGTTGAGCTCCGAGGCCAGCCCCTTCATCTGCTTGCTCTTCTCCCGCAGGCTGGCCTGCAGGCGGGGCGGTACGCGGCAGGGGCAGGGTGTTGGCGGCAGTACCGCAGGCAATGCCCAGCAGGAGGGGCAGAAGGACCTTCAGATGCCTGCTGCTGGCGGCTGGCAGCAGGTGAGGGGGTACAGAGCATCTGCCAGCAGTACACATGCGATGGGGTGCTGTGCAGCCGCTGCTGTGTACATGTGCTGCGGCCCATGGCCGAGGCCCCACCTGGTACAGGTTCAGCTGCTCGGCGGCTTCCGGCCCCGGCTGCCGTGCCAGGATCGACTTCAGCTCCAGGTACAGCCGCTCCTTGTCCTGCAGGACCGGTGGTGGAGTGGTAATGGCCTGGTGAGTCACTGGCAACAGGCGGCACATCAGTGGAATCAATGGAAGCCTGTGTACATCTTTGCGTGGGATGGATGCACAAGCGCTGGCTGAAAGGCGAGGGAGGTGGTGAGCAAGCTGCCCCGACCCTGGCTGCCACCTGCTGCCCCAGAAGCGTGCGCCGCCGCCCCGGCGCTGCCACTGGCACCCCAGTGCCGCCCCGCCACCCCGCCGCCCTGAAAGCGTACGCTGCCGCCTTGGCGCTGCCACTGCCACCCCAGTTCCACCCTCCACCCACCACACCTATATCAGGAGGCCCCTCTCCACCGCCTCCTCCACTGCCACTCCATGCCAACCCCAGTGTAGCTACCCACACACACCTGTATCAGCAGGTCCTTCTCCACCACCTCCTCCGTCTTGGCGATCAGCCGCCGCTGCAGCGCCTGCACCTTGAGCACCATCTCGTAGGCCCCAGGGTCGGCGCCCTCCAGCTTGCGCCACCTGTGGTTTTGTAGGGGGGAGGTGGTGGAAACCCTTGCGTGCTGCGCCGACACACTGCGCCAACACACATCTCCTCTGGTGCACGCTGCGCCGTCGTTGGTCCTGCCGCCGCACCTGTGCACGTTGAGCGGGCTCTCCAGCTCCTCCCCTAGCGCCTTGACCTTGCTGCGCTCCGCCAGCAGCTCGCGGTTGAGGTGGTGCACCTCGCGGCGCAGCACCTCGGCGTTGGTCACGCTGGACTTCAGCGCAGACAGCTCGCGCTGCAGGCCCGCCACCTGCGGCCGGGGCATGGGCGGGAGCGAGGTGGGGAGGGGCGTGGACGGTGGGGTGAGGTGCGGATGTGTCCATGCAGCGCGGGTTGGATGTCAGATGCTGAGCGGCCAGGCTGGATCTGGGGAGGGGCAGGCGAGGCCTCGAGGAAAGCACGGCCAGAAGCAGGCCACGCTCACCCCACCAGCCACGCAGCGTCTCCACCACTCACTGCCCATCTCTCTATCTCTCCACACACCCACACCCCACACACAACCACAACCATAACCACACCCCCACACCCCCCGACACACAATCGCCAACCTTTATCTTCAGCACGCGGATCTCGTTCAGGCGGTCCCGGTACTGCGCCTGCCCGCGGTGCAGGCTGGACTGCTGGATCTTGATCTTCTCATACAGCAGGCGCAGCTCCTCGTTGCGCCGCACCAGCTGCAGGCAGGGCACGACACGGCGCCAGCGGGTGCCGGGCAGGGTTACAGTCAGTACGGATGGCGGGTGCGGGTGGTGCGTGCAGACGGCGGCACGCCCCAGCGCGGCTGGCGGTCCCGGCGGCAGGCGCAGGCAGCTGCTGCCAGCACCAGGCAACCTGCCCTGCTGCTGCTTCCTGCCGGCTGCACAACCGACACCAGGCGACTGCTCCCACCTGCGTGCCCAGCACATCCCGCTCCCCAACCACAAGATCATACTCCTTCTTCAGCCTCAGCCGCGCCTGCAGGACGGGGCCGGCCGGCGTGCAGCGGTTGCGGCTGGGTGGTGGATGCGAGGGCAGGCAGGCAGGCAGGCGGGCGCGTTGCCGGCCTGTCTGGCGACAGCGCACCTCGATCAGCCACACTGTTCGCCATCCCACCTTCCCCAAAGCCGCACCCTCCCACCCTCTCTCCCACCTGGTCCGCCTCGGCGATGGCCCCCTGCAGCTGCTTGACCTCGGCCCGCTGCGCCGCCGCCGCGCCCTCCGACTCCGCCACCTGCGCCGCCACACGGTTGAGCTCGGCGCGCAGGGCATCGCAGTCCTTCTCGGCCTGTACGGAGATGGGAAGGAACCAGGGAGGGTGTGCTTGAGCGGGGAGGGAGTGGAGGGCAGGGGGCAGGGGGCAGGGGGCAGGAGGCGGGAGAAGGGGGGGAGAGGAGGCTTCTACGGGGCAGTAGTAGCAAGGACACAGACACACCCACACCACACACCCACGCTGCTTTGCGTGAAACCCTTAGCTCAACACACACCACCACCACCCCAGCACCCAAACACACGCAGCCACTGGCACGCCGCCCACCTTGCCGTGATCGTACGTCTCCTTCTGCAGCGCGGCGTCCCGCTCTGCAACCTCCAGCTTCAGCTGGTCGATCTGGTGCGCGCTGATGGCCAGGCGCCGCCGCAGCTCGCCAATCTCGTCCTGCGGGGCAGCAGGGGGCCATGGCATGCCGCCACCGGGTGGGAGGCAGGCGAGAGAAGCAGCAGGGCTGTTCAGGGAAACCAGCACCACCTGCCGCCCCAGCAGCTCCTCCTGCCCCACTTTCACAGATGGGAGCCCCGCCGGCACCTCTCCCCTGCACGCCCCACCCACACACACACCTGCACCTCCACCAGCCCCCGGCTGTAGTTGTTTCGCTCGCTGCGTACCGCCTCGTAAAGCTCCTGCTGCTGCCGCAGGCGGGCCTCGCCCTCTGCACGGCGGGCAGGCAGCGGGGCCCGAGCACGGCAGTCAGCTCAGCCACCACCACGGCCGGACCCAACAGCCTGGGACTGCGAGCCTGCACATCAGCCTGATTGCCCGCCCAGCCCCACCCGCGATCTTGCGCTGCAGGTCTGCGATGGCGGCGTCCCGCAGCGCCACCTCCTCCACCGCCGCCGCGTGCTTGGCCTGCACCCCCGCCGCCTCCGCCGCAAACCGGTCCTTCTCCCGCTCCAGGCCGCGGATCACCTGCCAGGGGGGCGCATCGTGGCAGCAGTCAGGGCAGCAGCACAAGTTCGGGCAACAGTGCAGGGCACGGGAGCACTGCTGGTTGGACAACAGCAAAGGCACTGCCCAGAGGACGTGCTGTTTCCCAGGAGGCGTCACGGAAGCCGAGGAGGCACCCCCGCCGCCCGCGGCGGCCCACGCCTCTGCAGCCCCACCCACCGCCTCCTGCTTGCCCAGCTCCGCGCTGTACCCCTGCATCTCCTGCTCCAGGTTGCGCCGCATGGCGTCCGCCACCTGGCAGGGGAACCAGGAAAGAAAGAAGAAAGAAAAATAAGGCAGAGGAAGCGGGGCGAGGAGGAGAGTGGCGAGGCCTTGTGGAAGGAGAGGCGGATGAACCAGAAACTCCCGGAAGAGATGCAGGTACGGGCCAGGCAAGGCATGAGAAGCTGTGCATGCGCTCAGCAGGAGGCAGGCCCCCGCCTTGACGAGGTCGGCATGCTTGGAGGTGGCAGTCTCGGCGTTGGCCCGGGCCTTGTGCAGCCTGCGGCAGGGGGCTCGGGCATGCCTCAGGCCCAGTTGCCTGCCAGTGCCCACCCAACTGCTGGCTGGAGCCCCTCAGCACTATGTGAAGCTTCCTGGAAGCTGCCCAGCACCCACCGCTCCCGCTCCTTCACCATCTCCTCCTGCTTCCGCCGCTCGATGTCAATCTGCTTGCGGGCCAGCTCCAGCTCCCGCTCCAGCCCTTCAGCCTCCGCCTGCAGCGCATCCCATTCAGATGACATCCGCGGCAGCCGCAGTTGGGGGTGGCGGCGGCAGGGCAGCAGCAGCAATAGTAGTGATACCACCGGCGACGGGGTGCGGCAGCACCAGCAAACGGCGGCAGAGACAGAGCCTTGCTGCTAGCAACCCATTTAAAGTGCAACCCATCTGCCCTGCCTCGCCTTGAGCTCGTCCCGCATGACTTCCACGTCCCCCCGCTGCTTCTCCAGCTGCAGCAGCTTGGCCGCCATCTGCTCCCTTCCCTTGGCAGCCTTCACGCCCTCCTCCTGCAGCAGCAGCCCAGCAGACCGCCCGCCACGCAGGCAGCGACTCTCTCAGCGCTGTAGAGACAACGCTGGGAGGTGGAACGCTGGCCCTTCTTCCTCCTCCCAGGTGCCCACATGCCTGCCCACACAGGATGGCTGCCGCCCAGCAGCAGGGCCGTCTGCTGAGCGAATGCTCCCCGCTCTCCTGCCCGCCACCACGCACAGCCACGCACAACCCGTCACCACCCCCAACCCCGCCGAAGCAGGCCGCCGCCTCACCCTCAGCGCCCGAATCTCGTCCTCCTTCTGCTTGATCTCCACCTGGCGCTGGCTGTTGTCCGCCAGCAGCTGCGTGTTGCTGTGGATGTGCTCCTCCAGCGTGTGGTGCAGGCGGGCAGCCTTCTCCGCCAGAGCGTTGTACTCCTTCTGCAGCCGCTCCCCGGCCAGCTGGCTCTCGCGCAGCAGCGCCTGCACGGCGGGGGGGCGAGGGAGACGGGTGGTAGCAGGCGCAGGATGATAGCAGGCGCAGGTAGGGCGGGTGCTTGTCACGAGGCACAGCACATGCACAGGGGCTGCCATCGTTGAAGCCCCCGCATTTCTGCTCAGGCGCTCAAGCTGTCACCCCGCCCCTTCCGTTTCCCTGAACCCCTCCTTCTCCCCACCCCTGCCACTCCTGCCACCCCTGCCCACCCCACCTTGAGCTTCTCCACATACTCCCCGCTCTGCTGCACCGCCAGCTGCTTGTCTCGGATATCCTGCTGCCGCGCCTCCAGCGACGCGCGCTGCAGTGGGCGGGGCACGGCAGCAAGGAGCAGGTAGGAAGCGGGGAGCGGCAGGGTGGGGGCAGTGAGGCGTGGAGGAGGTTTGCTATACCCAGCATGCTTGCCGCACTGTGCCACTGCCTCCACACACTGCCAAAGCCTGCCACTCACCAGCCATCCAACCACAAACTGGTTGGCTGGCTGCCACTCCACTCCACACAGACACACACACACCACACCACACCACACCACACCACACCACACCACCCACCAGGTCCTTCATCTCCCGCTCCAGCCGCTCCCGCCGCTTGATCTCCTTGTCCGCCTCCGCCCGCCGCTGTGCAGACTGGTCGCGCAGGGCCTGCAGGCAGGGGTGGGTGGGCGAAGGGTGAGCGCGGCTCTGTCAATCTTGAACCATCCCGCTGCCTCCCAGCTGCGCGTCCGGCGCACCACCCGCTCCCGGTAAAGCCAGGGCATGATGCCCTCCCTCCTCCCTCCCGTGAGCCCTCGCAGATGCAAGCCCAGCGCTGCTTGCCATGCGGTGCCCGCCTGCCCACTCCTTGCCTGCAGCCCTCTTCCCTCCCTACCTGCCTTCCTCCTTCCTTCCCTGCCTCCCTCCTTCCTCCCTCCTCTTCTTTCTCTCCCTCCCTCCCTCGCCCTCCCTCCCTCCTTCCCTCCCTCCCACCTGTATCTCCGCCTCCAGGTGTGCCTTCTCATGCTCAGCCGTCCGCATGCGCTCAGCAAACTCCATCACCTGCCGCCAGCAGCGGCGGCAGGCGCGGCCAGAGGGTCAATAGTCAATCAGGTGTGCCGCCATGCCCCCCGCCCACTGTCCTCTGGCGCATATCGGACATGCACACACACCACCCGACACCCTTCCCGCAAGCCGCCATCTGCCCTCCCCAACCACCCCAGCTGCAGCCAAGCCGGCGCCTCCCCTACTGCCGCCGCCGCCGCCGCGCGTCCCCAACAGCCGCCAGCCGCAGCTGCCAGCCACAGCCACAGCCACAGCCGCCACCCATGGCCAGCCCCTTGCAAGCTAGAGCCCCCCAGCTCGCCATGCCCTCGCTCACCTCCCCCCGGAGTGCCACAATCTGCTCCACCTGCGCGTCCCGCTCCGCGGCTGCCTCCTCCTTGAGCCGGATGAGCTCCTCAAGGTCTGCCTCCTCAGCCAGCCCCACCGCCGCACCCTGCTCCAGCAGCTTGGTGAGCCCGCTAATCTCCAGCTTCAGGGAGGCTACCTGCTCCTTGGCCTTGAGCTCCTGCGGGGCACCGGACACAGGAGCAGGCACAGGCGCCGCAGTGCAGCAGGAGGCGCCGTGAGGCAATGGGGCATGCCGAGCGGCAGGTGAGCGGCGGCGGCCAGCGGCAGCCAAGGCTGCTGGCCGGGCTTTGGGTGGCGCAGCACAGACGACACCCAGCCGCCGGCGACGGCCACATCCAGCCAGCACCTTGCGCCACCACCACGCTGCTGCACATGCCGCCCTGCACGCTACCCGTGCTGCCATCGCAAGGCCCCCCCCGCCTGCCTGGGTCCCCGCTGCAGCGGTACGGGCTGCCCACCTTCTCGTGGCTGCTGTCCACCATGCGCCATGAGTTCTCTATCTCCTTCTTCAGGGCCCCGATGGTGGCCTGGTCGTCGTCTGACAGCTTCAGGGCGGCCTGCACCTTGGCTGCTCCCGTCACGATCTCAGCATTCAGCTCCCGGCACTTCTTGATCAGCCGCTTCTCGTTGTCATGAGACTTCTTCAGCGCCCGAAACACCTTCTCGTACTCGGCGCGGAAGCGGTCCAGGGCCGCATCCCCCGCCAGCTCTCGCAGCACCTGGCGGCGGCGGGGACGAGGAGCAAGCCCGGGGTGTGGCGGCGCGTGCGAGCAGCAGTGCCGGCGGCGGCGGGCGTGGCTGGCAATGCACGCCCCCGGGGGCCGCTGTTGTAGGCCAGGCTCAAGGCGAGGCTGGGTCATCCCAAACCAGTTTGCCAGTGACTGCCTGGAGACTGGCCAGCGGCGGGTGGCGCCGCCACCCGCCCGACCCGACCCGCACCTCTTGGAAGTCGCGCTCGATGGTGTCGTAAGCCTTTCCCTCCTGCTCCTTCTTGGGGTCCGCGTCGTCTGCCATTCTGCGCAGCCCCCGCTCCTGGGGCGGGCTGTCGGAGGTCAACGGAGCCAAGTTGCGGGCTTGGCTTGCTGCAACACCGGCTGCCTAGTTCACTGCTCCCAATTGACCGGTTCAGGCTCCAAGGCCGGAATGAACACGAAAAGTGCCGGGCAGTACAGTTTGTCCCACACAGGCTCGAAAACGGGGATGTGGGATGGTCGGCGCATACCGACCCGATCACAGAGCTGAACAAGAGAGCCGCGACGTTGCCTGAGAGGCCGCACGGGTGGATGGTCCGCTGTTTGCACTCTTTGTCGCTGCCCCGCTGCCCAGAACTGGTCTTCCGCTGCAGCCATAGGCTACACACAGCCGTCGCGAGCAGCAGATGTGCGGCAGCTGGCGGCAGCTGCCCTCGGCAGCGGCGGCGGTCGCGGGGTCGGGCGGTGGCGGCGGCAGGCCAGGGGCCCGGCGACTGGGTGCCACAGCCTGCCGAGCAGCTGGGTTGGGAGGGGGCAGGCACTGACAGCGACTATGACACTGATGCTGAGCTGGACCTGTTCCCTGAGGAGGTGAGCTGCTGGGCTGGGCCGGTTGATAGGGTGGAGCCAGTGGCGGTGCCGCCGCTCGGACCAGCCGCACCCTGTGCAGTGCAGCGTGGTTGGCGCTGCCGGCAGGTCGCCAGGCGGTCTAGCCCCCTGCCTATCCTCCCGCTACGGCCCTTCCCCACGCCGCACCCAACACCAGCCAGCAAGCCAGCCCACCAAGATGCTCGCCAACCCCCACCGATCTACCGCCCTGCCTGGCCTCGCCGCAGATGGGCGGCGACCCCGAGTTTGTGGTGGAGAACTTCCTGGCGCTGATCCTGATTGCGCTGTGCACGCTGGCCGCCGCCAACATCGCCCTCAAGCTGCTCATAGTGGCCTATGCCCTGCTGGCGGCGGGCGTGCGGTACACCGTGGTGGGCCTCTTCCTGGCCGTACTGCTGACCCAGGTGCAGCCGGGGCGGTGGTGGTGGTAGCCCGCGGCGGGGCCGTGCAATCAAGGACGAGCGGCGGTCCTGCCCTGGCTGGGCACGGGTCGGGTCCATGTTTGTTGCTTTTGTTTACACCACACCGCTCTGTGCTGCCATTTCCCAACCGGCCCCCTGGCCCTGCCTTCTGCTGCCTGCTTCTTTTTCTTGCTCAATCCTTGTTTATTGTTTAGAAATGCAGAATGCAATCGCGCCCACGCGGCCCCCAGTGTAATCTCAGCTACTGCTCATGCATCGTGCCAGTGCGTGCGCATCACGCAGGCGCGGCACTGGGGTGCCGCCGCGCTGCGGTGCCGCCGCCTGTCCCTGTGCCTCACGCCCTCGTGGCTGCATCATCACGCCTTGCCCTAAAGGGTGGGCCATCCGAAGGCGGGGCGCCGCCCGGGGTTGTGTCGCTCCAGCCGCTCCAGCACCAGCTGCTTCAGGCTGCCCTGGCCCCGCTGCGGCGCGTGACACTGCGGCGCACGGCAGGGTGGCGGCAGCGGCAGGGTGAATACGTTTCCGGCGAGGCAGTGGCATGAAGGCGGGCAAGCACGCCAAACATTCCATGCGCTGCTGCCCCGCTTGAACAAGCAGCCCCCGACTTCTAACCCTCTACACCGCGTAGGCGAGCTACTCACGAAGCGACAGGCGGGGCCCTTGGAGCACCCCCCCGGCTCCACATGCTCGTGGAAGCATGGCTTGGGGAAGACCTTGTCGATGCTGCAGACGCAAGGCGCCCAAGGGTACGTCACCGCAGCGGCCAACCAACCCCCAGCTGTGCTTCCAATGCGGCGGCAATGCGGTTTGGGCGGGGCACAGCCATTGGGCACGCACCGGGCAGACGCAGCTCAGCGCCGGTGCCCACGCTCTCTTGCCTCTTCATGGGGCGCAGGTGGCAGAAGGCGTAGCTGTCCACCCACACGCAGTCCGGCAGCAGCTGGCGGCAGAACAACGCCATGTCTGTGCGTGCCTGCAGCGCAGCGCAGCGAGCAGCATGCCACGGCACGAGGGCGGCGCGGCATGCATGGGCCCGGGTGGGCAGCCACGCCTGCATGCCTGCCATGTCCGACCACCGCCCCCTACCGTGACTGGCAGCAGCAGCAGAGAACCGTGGCACAGCAGGGCAGGGCATTTGGGAGCAGGATACAGAGCAGCCGTGGGCATCAGGGCAGTTCAGGGAAGCTGGGAATGCTCCCAGCGAAAGGAGGAGCGCAGCCGGGGCCCACTCCCCACCACGGCACCCACCCACTGAGACACCTCAGGATACAGCGCCGGCTGAGCTCCCAGCAGGGAGCTGGCCCTGGCCTGCAGCTCTCTGCAGCAAGCTGGGCCGCAATCGGCACGACTCAGGGGAGCAACATCGGTGCAGTGCTGCTGCCGGCCACAAAGGCAGGTCGAGGCAAGGCTGTGTCTGTGCACTGGGCGCCGGCGGCAGTAGTGGTGCGAGCCCACAAGAGTGAGAGGAGCACACTAGTGAAAGGGCAGTGAAAGGATAGTGAACGGGACACACACAAACCCAAGTGTGATGCTTGCCTGGCTGGGGCGCGCCGCCCGTGTTGCGCCACCAGGTACTGCAGCACGTCCCGTTTCAGGCGCAGGAAGTCGGCGGCACCTGGCAGTACAGCACATCAAGCACACTCCCTTGAATGCAAGAAAATGAGCAGAAGGTGAGGAGAAAGACGGACGTGGTGGTGGGGGCTGCAGTGCGAGGCAAGGATTGCGGCGGCGGCTCGCTGACCTGGCGCCAGCTGGACGTCGCCGTCCACCGTTCCGCGGAACAGGTGCGGGCAGCGGGCTTCCAGGAAGCGCTGAAAGACATTCACCTGCGCTCCGGCCCAGGGAAGCAGCGACCATTTCATAGCTGTGGTGAGACACGAACAGGCCAGCAGGCATGCCGATTGACGGCCCACCACTCCAGTGCCGGAAGATGGGCGGGCACGCATGCCATGCCAGTTGCTGCCCTCACCCTAGAGTCCGCCTTTGCCATGTCGTACAGGTCGGCAGGCAGCGCGTTGCCCTTGCCGCTGGTGGCGGCAGCCAGCAGGGTGGAGGGCGGCGCCCCGCCGCCGGGCCGCTGCTGCAGCTCTTGCAGGCAGCGAAGCTCCAGCTTCCAAACAGGGTCCTGCAGGCAGGCAGGCGGGCAGGCATGCAAGGCACATTTCACACGGGGCCATCTAGTGTTGCGCCGGCCTGACAACAGCACGCTTCGGCGAGCTTTCAGTTGTCTCTAGCTCAGCTGTTATCAGTCGAGCTGCTGCACGGCCGCCGTCCAGCCCAGCTCACCCAACACTCTGCCTCTGACAGCTGGTCGCCTGCCTGCCCTGCGTCGCCGCCAGCTGAGGCAGGCGTCTGCGCCTCCTCCACTTCAGAGCGCCCAGGCGCGGGTCCTGGTGATGCAAGGCCATTCCCCGCCCCAGTGTCTGCAGCGCCACCGGATGCCGCTTCCGCAGCACCGCCGGCGTGTGCAGCAGCACCCCTGCCGCGGCTGCGACTACGGCTGCGGCTCCGCCTGCGGCTGCGCGGGCTGCTGCCGCGCCCTCGGCCCCCAGAGAAGCTGCGACTGCGGCTGCGGGACCTGCTTCTGCTCCTGCTCCTGCTCCTGCTTCTGTTCCTGCTCCTGCTGCTCCAGCTCCTGCTGCGGTGGCGCCCCCCGCTGGCACTCCTGCTCCTGCTCCTGCTCCTGCTCCTGCAGCGGAGCGCCCCGCTGGCGACCAGCTGCAGGTGGCGCTTGTTGATCATCTTCCGCGCCTTCTTCAGCCTGCCCGTGGTGCACAGCCTGGCCAGGACGAAGTTGTGAGGGTGGTCGTCGCCACGAGGGGGGGCATGCGCCTGCAGGAAGAGGAGCCCAGCAAGCACCTTTCAGTGGGGGCACCGGGGGTGCTGCGTGGTTGCTCAAAGCCCTGCGTGCTGGCTGAATGTCCTGCTCCCTGGGAGGTCGGGCCATGTGCGGATGTGGAAAGCAAGGTGGGTGGTATGCCCTGTGGACTGTCAGCAGGGGCCACGCCGGGCCGACCAGCAGCAAGGGCGTGCATGCAGGGTGTGCGTGCATGGTGTGCATGCATGCCCCATATGGTATGTGCAGCTGGGCTCACGAATCGGCAGTCAGGCGCGTTGTGGCAGCCTTTGGGGCTGATGTGCTCGAACATGCACTGCTGTGGGAAGTTGAGCGGGGATGGACTGCCGTGCGGCCTGCGGCACAGCACATGGCGGCCATGAGCCACCAGCGGTGCTGCCGTGGGGCCGCAGCGTAAGTGCCGAGGTATGTGCTCGGGCGGGCGGCCTCCTGCCTTGTTACTGGTGGGCGCTAGCTTGCAAGCCTCAGCCCCGCGGGCGGCAGCGAGGCACAACCTGGGTGCTGGGCGCAAGCTGGTCGCTGGCCGTGCTTCCAAGCAGCGGCGGTACCGCAGCGGTACCACGGGCCCTCACCCCTCAAAGGACCGCAGCTCGACTCGCCCGCAGTGCACCCACACGCAGTCCCCCAGGTGCTCCCTGCAGAAGCGCTCAAAGTCGTGGAATGCCTGCGCACAGCCAGGCAGCATAGCAGTTTGAAGGACTCCGTCTGGCTGAAGGCGCATGTGTGGGTGTGCCACGTCAACACATGTGTATCCATCTGCAACGGCAGCTGCCTGCCAGGCCGGTGTAAATCACAAGGCAGGGCTAACGCAGCAACCCCATGCACTCCAATCACCCTCACCTGCCCTTCCAGCTTTGCTCCCGCCGCAGAGCCCACCACCTTTTGCACATCGCTGCAGCAACAGGAGCAACACCTCGGTCATCGCCAGGTAAGCTCAGGACACGGTATAGAGCAGCGGCAGCCGGTGCAAGGTGCAGGGGAGTAGCAGGCACCAGGATGGATACCATAAGCTGCTTCCATAAGTTGCTTCCACAAGCTGCTTCCATGGCTGGCTGCAGGCGCAAGAGGACATCCACTGCTGGCGGCAGGCGGCCTGCGTGCTGCACCAGGCTCCCGGCGCAGCATGCACAGCGCACCTGGACGCCGCGCGCATCATGGGCTGGCGCTCGAGGTACTGCAGGATGCTGCGCTTGTACTGCAGGAAGCTCTCAGCACCTGCAGCAAGGACGCACCGGCTGGCCCTGGGCCAGCTGCCGCAATGTAGACTACTCCTCCGCAATGAGCAGCAAGACGGCTGTCTCGGGGCTTGGCGGAGGCAGGCAGCAGGGCCCGGCAGCCGGGTTCGGCGTGCGTGCACCCAGTGCTGACCCGGCGCCAGGCGGAAGCCGCCGCCGCCGCACGCAAACAGGTGCGGGCGCATGCGCAGGAAGCGGTTGAGGGCGGCGACGTCGGCTTGCCAGTCCCTGACGGGTGCCCCCCAGGGGCTGGTAAACATGAAGGGAGGCAGCCCGCCCAAGCGGCTCAGCAGCGCGCTGGTCTGCATGCCCCAGCTTACGGCGGTCGGCAGCTGCTGCGCGCAGCGCCACTCCAGGCACCAGACGGGGTCCTGCGGGCGGCAGAGCAGCAGGGGCAGGCTGCCGCGACGCACCAGTCAGCAGTAGCAGCAGCAGGACGAGAAGCAGAGCAGGCCAGAGCGGCACACACGGGGCACCTGCTGGCTGCGCTCACGCAGCCGTGCACCCTGCGCAGCTGCAAGGGGATCCCACGCTCGCCCCAGCAGTGCCGCTACACTCAGGCGAAGCTGCTGCTCAGGCGCAACGCGACCCCTTACCCAGAACTCGCCGCCGGCCCTGGCTCCGCCAGCCGCGACGTGCGCCCCAGCACCAGGCTTGGCTGGCTGCCAGTCGCGCCGCCGGTCCCAGCTACTGCCCCGGAACCGGCTGCGGCTGCGGCTGCGGCTTGCCCCGCCGCGCCTGCGCTCCCTGCGCTGCTGCGACCGCACCCGCTGGCCCTGCGGGGGCTTGGGCTGCGGCTGTAGCTGCGGGAATTGCGCCTCCTGCTCCTGCTCCTGCTCCTGCTCCTGCTGCGACTGCGGCTGCTGCTGCGGCTGCTGCGGCTGCTGCGCCTGCTGCGCCTGCTCCTCCTGCTGCGGCTGCTGCTCCTGCTGCGGCTGCTGCCCCGGCTGCTCCTGCTCCAAGAGCGGCTCCGGCGGTGCCGCCTGCCGCGCTGCCCAGCCCCGCCATACCTCCCACCTCCAGGCGCCTCACGGTGCGAGCCGGGCAGCGGCGGGGTTGGCCGCGCAGCTCCCGCCGGCGGCGGCGTCGTGGCAGCGTGCGGCAGGCGAGCGGCCCCCGCAGCCCAGGGCGCCTGCGAGCTCCTGCTGCTTCCTGGGGTGCTTTCCTCCACCAACAGCTCCTGCCACCCCGTCCAGCCGCCACCCGCGCCGGTCGCGTGCTCCGGCCCTGCTGCCGCCGCCGCCGCCGCACCCCCGGCAGCAGCCCGGCTACCTGCGGGAGCAGCTGGCGCGTCTGCACCATGTGCCTCGGGAGCTTCTGAGGGCTGGCCTACTAGCCCCGCGCTGGTCCCTGCCACTGCCTCATCCGCCGACGTGGATGCTGCTGCCTGCTTGGGTGGCGGCACCTGCCAGAACGCAGCCGCACACACTTCCTCCTCTTCCTCCCCCTGCTCTTGCTCCTCTCGCTCGTCTGCTCCGTCTTCTCCACAGTCTGGAGTGGTCTCTCGCTCCTGCTCAGCCTGATCTGCTCTGGTCTCAGGCTGCTGCTGCTGCGCAAGAGGCTGCAGCTGCTGCGCCGCCAGAGGATGGTGATAGTAGGCGGGCAGCCGTTGCGCTTCGTGCTGCTGCTGGGTGTGCTGCGGCGGCAGCAGCTGCTCGGCCTGTGCCTGCTGCTGCTGCTGCTGCTGCTGCCGCTGCTGCTGGAAGCCAGAGGGCATGCCGGCAAACCTTGGAGGGATGCCGAGGGCATGGCTGCAAAGCATCACGGCGCTGCGCGGTTGAGCGTGCTGCTGTTGTTCATACTCAGTTTGTTGCAAACGTTGCGGCGAAATCAAGTCAGTGTGTGCAGCTGCCTAAGGGAGGGAAGATAACAAAAGAACACGGGGCAGCGTCCGGCCGCACGGAGCGCAGCAGAGCCGCCGCCCTCCGAGAGCAGATTATATCCAGCTCCTCGCCACTCCAGAACCAAGACCAGCGCTGCCCTCCTGGCATCGCCTCTGGTTCACTCCACGTGGTAGCCCTCTGTGACCAGCGCCGTCTTGCTGCCGTACTTGACGGGCTGCCCCGTGCGCGCGTCCACCACGCTCTCCACCTTCACGTCGCAGATGGTGCGCGACGCAGAGAACTCCACCTGCCGAGGTTGCACGCAGCGGCGGAGCAGAGCACAGTGATTGATGTCGCCCACGCTGCCAGGTAATGGCGGCTTCCAGACCCCACCTCGCAGCGCACCTGCATGCTGTACTACCATACGTGCAGCAGTACAGCCACGCAGAACACCAGTGCAGCACCACCCCCTGCCCACCTCGATGGGGAAGAAGGCGTCAGCCTGCGCCGCGGGCACCACAAACTCTGCGCTGCCGGTGCGGTTGGTGTTGTCGATGAGCTCTATGGACCAGACCAGGCACGACTTGCGCATGTCGTACCGCCAGTCGCCGTCGATCTGTGTGGTACAGGTCGGGGGACAGGTAGGGGCAGGCGAGGTGGGGGCGAGGCCAAGGTGCGCATGGTGCGCATGGAGGGGGAGGGAGGTGTGGTGCAGGTGGCGGGGTGCGACGGCGTGGAGGAGCGGCGTTGCGCGAGGGCGGGTGCCGCCATTGCCGGGGCAGTGGCGGTGGTGTTCAAGGGTCTATAGGGGCGGGGCGGGGGCGGGATGGGGGCGGGGCGCCAGGGATCCCTCTCACCTGGTTGACCTGCGGGGTCTGCGCGGAGGAGGGCAGCGGGATGTAGATGTGCACGTTCTGCATGAGGAGGAGAAAAGGCAGAGCACAGGAATGATGAGTAAGAAAGAAAGAAAACAGCAGCAGCAGCGCACGTATGCAGAGGCGTGATGTGCAGCGCCGCCGCGAAGCCCGAAACCGTGTGTAGGGGTGCAGCGGCAGCCACACAGGCTGCAGTCGCGTCCCCGGCCAGCCGCGTTCCCGGCAGCTGCCGCGCACCTGCAGGTCGAACGGCACGGTCGACTCGTACTCGATGTTGACGTACGACTCGCCTGCGGTACGGGAAGGGAGCGGTACCGGTGCAAACATCAGGGGGCAAGGGACAGGGGCGCAGAAAGGGGCAGGCGTCAGCACTTGCGGCAGCCGTCAGGCAGCCAGAAGAGGCGGGGAGCAGCAGCAGCAAACGGCGAGAGGGCAGGCGGGCGGGGCGGGCAGGCGGGGCGCGCACCCCCGGAGATGGATGGCCAGCAGTTGATGGAAAGCGGTACCACCGACTCGTCCCGCGTCTGCAGCCGCCACTTGAGCACGCCCAGGGGGGCTCCCGACGGGAAGGGGCGGCTGGGATCCTTCAGCCCCAGCACGTTGTCGTTGCTGCGGCAGAGGTGTGTGTGTGTGGGGGGTGCAGGGCAGGCGAGGGGCGCGTGGTGTGGGTGGGTGCGCCGCGGGCATGGCGTGGCTCGGCCGTCGGCGGCGGCGGCACACACACGCGGTGCGGGGGGCTGCGGCTGCCGCCGCCGTCGCATGTGCACTCCCCACACATGCACTGCTATGAAGCAGCTGCGCAGCTGTACCGCCGTACCGCACCTGTACCCCGCCTTGTCGATGTTGGGGTGCGTCTTGAACTGGTACCCCTGGGTCGCCCCGCTGGCCAGCTGCACCCGCAGGCAGGCATCGGCCTCGTGCTGGATCTGCGGCACGGGTGGCGAGGCAGGCGGGGACAGGCGCAGGGGGATGGGGTGGTGGGATGAGGGACGCACAGGGGCACAGGGAGGTCAAGCAGGGGCCAGCAATGGGGTGGGGTGGGGATGGCGTGCGGCAGCCACAGCGCAGACTGAGCTGGGCCTCCTGCCGCAGCGGCTATACCCCCGCAGGCTCTTGCCACGGCTGCCCCTTCTCCCACTCTCAGCCCGTCCCACACCTGGCACTAATACCCTGACCAGCCGCCCGCTCCTTGTTCACAAGCCACCCTCGGCCCATCCCACACCTGCCACCTGTCACCACCTAACCAGCCGCCGCCGCTCCCACCCGCCCCCGACCCGGCGCGCACCTGGAGGCTCATGGTGCCCTGCACCTCGCAGTCAT